TAATTTCCAACACGGATTCTTTGCTACATATAATGGACTATTTGAGATTTGGAATCGCTATCTGGAACAGAGTAAAATTTGATCTCGGCATGCAGTGATATATCTTCGCCTTCTGGAGAAGCTTAGGTCAGTTTATTTGGTACTGCATCCTAAGTACAGTTCCAAAAGTCCTAAGGGAGCTACTAATTTATGGTAAAGAAAATGGGAACGCCCACTGTGGTCATTGTACCAGCATGTGTACAGAGTACTTTTGGGCTTTTCTTTTGGCAACATAGACTACACTGAATGGTGTAACATCGCTTTGGGGTCGAATGAAATTTAATGTCACATTGATCAGAACGAAGGCCTCAACTTCTGTCCATCGTTTACTGCAACAGAACAGTCCCTAGCGTCAGCGCATCAACGCTATGGAAGATAAATCCTCCATCTGGCAGTAGAGTCCCTTTAAGGAAATATACTACATACTAAATATGGCACCAAATGAAACACAACGCAGACTTTGCGTAGCAAGTCCAGTTGAAGAACACTATAAAGGAGGTTCAGCTGGAATTCAGCTAAATCTAGTGTTACAAGCTAATGCGTGTCCAAATGAGTGTAGTTTGAGGATTTCATCCAATGTGGATTCAAGGTTTACTTATGGAAACTCAGAAACTGTTTCTATGTGATAAACGCAGGAAGGAAGTAACTGGCTATGGGCTGTCGGAGGGTTTTCAGTAAGGGAGAAAAAAAGTTACACACTACAGCCGACATAAAATGAAGATGACTTCCACAACTAACAGTTTTTATGTGGTTTTGGTCTCGTGGGGACAGTTTGCGAAATTAGTCAATACTTACAGGTTCAGTATGCATCAAATCGCACTATAAAAATCCACAATGACTCGTTGGTTTTGTTGAGAAAATATGTTGGGACGACGGGCATTCGGTCTGTAACGCTACTCGAGCTACAAAATCGACCGGAAACTTCGAAGTCCAGATTGACTCCTTAGCTGGCAAAGGAATCCAAACAGCTGGACAGGCGCCATATGCGTGCAGTAAACGCAGAAAATTTACGTGTAAGTCACAATTACCCACAGGCTGTGTTTTCCTGGTCGTGTTGGTAAGCTCTCATGCAGCTAATTTTTCTCGAGCATTGTTATCGATCATAATTCGTTTTCTCAGCATTTTCAGATCCTGAATGTAAAGCAACCAATTTTAACCTGGAGTTGAGGAAAGACAAGGATAGCTGGCAGTAGATTTTCCTAAAAGTGAACGATCAAACAGAGAATTCACAGAGGAGAATGTTGGTGGCTCAGGTAGCATAGATGGTAGTTGGTTTGTTCACTGAGCTGGGCAATTTGACTGCAAACGTTTCATTACCAATCGAGGTGACATCATCAATGCGCTGTGGAGCGTAGCGATGGGTAGGTGATCGCGTATTGTGTTTATGTTGATATACATGCTGCCCTCGAGCTCTGATCGATGTTGGAGTGACCTCTGTCGGTGACCCCTCTGGGTTCCAGTTTGTGAACTTTGTTGATCCTACTTCATGAAGTTTCGTGCTCCTTGGTTTGTGAACCCTATATTTGGCTCTCCTTGGATATTCCGGTGGAGGAGTTGGTGCTTTACACGTTGCGGTGCGTAAATTGGGTGCATTTCAATGCATCGGTTGATCGAATCGGCTATGGACTACCGTGTTTCCAGAAATACCCTTCCGTGCCTCGTGTCTCCGTATGCCAAAATTTTGACGTTATTTAGATTGAATTTGCGGCCCTCTTGGTCTTCGTGTATAGATATCAATGAAAGGGCGTCATACCTTCAGACGGCCGCGTTGTGTTCCTTCATTAGTCTTCCAGTTTGTCTACGTATAATGATAAATAACATATGAACAATCATTTATTTATCACGAAGCATTACGACAGGTATCAACTTACGAACATTCCTTAGGGCCTAACCACTCTGGTCAAATATTTTGACGGTTGGAAGACAAAAAACAGGATAAGAAAATGTCAAATTAACTTTCCTGTTTTGGGTAAAAGAAGCAGGTTTTTCGCTGTTTTCTGGATACTCATCACTCAGATCCCTACTTAAAAAGGCCGGTTCCAACGAAGATTTGTTCCTTTCAATGGCCATTGAAGCGCAAGATTAGTTGGCTATGAAATCTCAGCATCAGTTTTCCGAATCTACGCGTAGAGTTATCAGGCGAAATCCATCCAAACTGAAGTATCAGAAACACGTCGTTACACTTGGCTTTGCAACTGTAGAGTTTGTGCTTGGTATACCTACAACGTTCATCTGGGAAGGTCCCTGCAAACTCTCTTATGTCCCAGAAGACTACATTAGGTGGGTGAGCGTTTTTCTATTCCTTGCTCTGTTTTTTAAACTTCAGGCAATTTTCCGACGGTGTAACTGCACGTCTTATAATGTTTTGCGAAGCCATTTCTGAGGTTTGTTTGCACCACCTAGTGGTACACCTCAGAGTCAGACCACTACAGAACCCGCATCATCCGTAGATCAGAGTGGTCACAAGATAAGCGGCAGTCTCATTGTCAAAGACAGGCCTTCTCACTAATAAAGACAGGAGACTGAATGGGACGTAACCTTGGCAAAGAGTCAACTTTACCAGTTGCAGTAAAGTTTCAGTGTCTGATTCAATCTCCAAAGTCTGTTGGAAATGAGATGTGCTTATCCGGAACAAACTGGCCGTTCAAAGATAGTCTTCTTCGCCCTTCGATCAACATAGTGTCCAGATGAACGTGGTCATCGGTGTGACTTAGCTTCTGCCAGCCTAACCAAATTCAAATGTGGTTTTCGCTAGCATACTGCGAGGTGGCAAGCAAATTTTAAAACGGACGCCAACCCACCACCCAGTCTATGAAAATTTGGATGATAGCAAGCACTTCATATTTCCGTAACGAGGTTTCCTTTTGTCCAGACGCGAAGTTGTCCTATTGAGGTAAGACGAAAGTGCTTCTTTAATATACGCCCAGTAATTTTTGGCCGAAAAATTCAAAAAACAGCCCTCGGTAGTTTTCAATCTGTTCATCGTTTTTAGTTTATTGCAGCAGTGCCGCCGATTCAAAGTCAAGAGTTTTCTTCCCTGTTTTTATCCAATATCTTCCCAGTCTCTCTTTCAAGCTGATAGCTTTCTTTTAGTATGAAAACGCCACAAGAGTAATATCAAAGGTTGAAATGGCATGTGTGTTTTATTCGCGACCATATCGTCTCAACCTGTCTTATTGATTTTCAAAATTATGTTAACGCGCGGACGATATAGCTATCTTAGTTTTAGTATTCCGTCTTACGTTCAGAAGAGTCGGTTAACACGAGCAAATATCGATTGTACAACTGAGAAATGGCATGTGTTTTATTCGCGACCATATCGTCTCAACCTGTCTTATTGATTTTCAAAATTATGTTAACGCGCGGACGATATAGCTATCTTAGTTTTAGTATTCCGTCTTACGTTCAGAAGAGTCGGTTAACACGAGCAAGTATCGATTGTACAACTGAGTCACCGAAAGGCGAACTGAAATAAAGCATGCAGGAAGACAACTAGACAACTTGAGTTTCCGGATGATCTGTGTAATCTGCATTGATTCTGGTTAGGACGGCAATCCTGTACTCTCTCTGCCTCTTCCTCTGCCTGTGCGGCCGAGTGAATAATGCCGTGGACCAACATTTCGACGAGTCGATGTTGGAACCTTCTGATTGGTTGATAGGTTTTAGAGACGCTTACCTAGAAATAAAGAGTTAAAGTGGAATTTTCTTGGGGTTGCGGAGATGAATAAGCCGATTCAGTAAATCCCCGCACTAAGCTGGACTCACCGAGACATCTGAAATGTCCTGAAGTACAACGTGTCTGCACACCCGAAAGAAAAAAATGCATTTATCCATATTCCTTCTGGAGATGATTAAACACAAGGATGTCAGTACTAAACGTACTGAATTATACAGTGAGCATGCTGAACTTTGACTAGTCACCATCCAAAATGATTTGGCTGAATTCTTGTATAGGACATTCAACACTGCACTTTGGGTGTTGACTGGTCTTCACTACGCCGAAACAAACGTAACTCAGGCCAAAAAAGTCCGCTGGAATTTCGGATTGGAAGTGGTTCGTATCTCGGCAACAACTCACCAGTGGACCATAGAGCAGTCTTGGAAGGATATCTTGGAAAATGTGGGAATGAAGTTTGTTACGCAGATGATCATTTGATAGCAATATGCCACTCCTCAAACCGGGCAAAACCGCCAGCTGGTGTTCAACGGCGGATTGGAAGTGGTTCGTATCTCGGCAACAACTCACCAGTGGACCATAGGGCAGTCTTGGAAGGATATCTTGGAAAATGTGGGAATGAAGTTTGTTACGCAGATGATCATTTGATAGCAATATGCCACTCCTCAAACCGGGCAAAACCGCCAGACTCTTTCTCGAGCTGGATGTTCAACGGCACCAAAATCCGGAGACCACTATAAACCAAAATACCGCCTTATAAGGATTGTGTTTCGCACTGCGTCACACACCGTCACACACACCATCACAGTTTCACAATCTACAAGCTTAGTTTAATTTGAAAGAAAAATACGACCTTCTGGATGGTCATGACGGTTGTGTACATTTGGTCACGGGAATTTACTGGAGTTCAGTATGTATGCTACAGTTCATTGTCGTATAACTGAGTGTAGCCAGAAGTGCCGAAGAAAGTGAACAGTTCCCTATCACCTGATAGATCGAGAATGACTGCAACAAGCAAATAGTATCGAAGGCCGTGGTTGGTTGGCCGTCAATAGATATATTATTGGAAAAGCTCCATTCTGAGTGCTGAAGGGCCGCGTTCAAGTAGAAGTTCCCGGAAGACCTGATCAGCTGAATCTATCAATCACACACGTGTGACGTCAAAGCCGAATGGAACGCATAATGCTCGAACGCGATTCGTTCGTTCTTAGGTCACACGATAGCCAATAGGGGCCGACTATCGGAACGCACGTGCGCGTAAATGTTGACAGAACAGGCCTAATGTCACATCGTCTGAGAGAACAGCACGCTTTGTAAATACCACAGTGAGTTTGCTATCGGCTATTTCTTTTTATTGTTTACGAAATACTGTTGATCCGTTGTTTTGCTTATCACTGCGGCATAATCAATACCTTCGTTAGAATTCCAGGATGTGCGTAAATAAAACTGTTGCACCGCAAGTGGATCCACACAGTGTCTACTCTGAATAATGCGCTATTTTCCAGAATACAAGTTCCATATCTCTGAAGGATAATGACTTTGGCTGAAATGAGAAGGGCCGGTATGCAAAGCTAGACTGCAAACTGTGCGATTCAAACCAAACACAAAACATGATGAATGTTGCTCGACGGGTTGGTAAAATCATGCACCGTGTGGAAACATATTAGTTATTACTAGATAAACAGATGCCTTCATCAACGATCTTCCATGCTCCTGGGAATGGTGGTCGGATGTCAGACAGTCGGTTTCACAGGGCAATTTGTGGTCAAAATTTTACCGCAAACAATGGAGATCTGTTCTGAGAAGACTTGGTGACGCCACCACCTTGGATTCTGGAACGATCTTGGATATTGAGAGATAGATGTTTTTTCTGAAACCAAATCTCTGCTATTCACCAAATGGAATCGTGTGACAATAAGGGATTTTGACGTTGTAAGGCAGAAAATTTGACTCAGCTTATGAATAAATGGGGACGAGATGGCCCAAGTGGTTAGAGCGCGAATTTACTGACCGGAAGGTTCGTGGTTCGAACCCAATCTCTGCCTCTCGGCTTCTCCTGTCTAGGCTTGGGAACTCGACAGTATCCCAGTCCTCGTGTTCCCTTTGGGTGGCATGGCAGCTAGGCACCGAAATGGTGTTACAGCTGAATGGGTTTTATTTTTTGAATAAATAAGTTGCGCCTAAAATGGTACAGCAATCTTACGGTAAAACGCTCAACAATGAGTCATAATTTGCTTATACAAAAGATAGTTCGCAGACAATGGTATTCTATAATCGAATCACTGCATCACTCCTCCCCGTTTTTCTATTCAACTCTTCGAAACCATACAGCTGGAATAGTTATTTCCTGCGTTGCGTTCGTTACCCTTATACCTCGTTGAGCATTTTCTGTAGTTCGGGAGTTGTAACTTATGGACACAACTAAATTCCGTTCATGCGGTTAACAACTAGTGAGTACGTATTTACGAGTGAATTCCTCACTATCCACTGCTGCTTTGGTAAGTACAGGTCTTCGTTTTCCGTTAGCACTGCTGAATATGGCCACGGGTTCCATGTGGATACGTGCGTCCGATGATTAGGGCTGTTGTGAAACCCTCATTTTCTCACGTGATTGCCATCGCCTCTCAAATTGGTGACACTAGTTTCGTGCACGGGACTAGAATGCTTCCCAATTTTTGACCCATAGTTGTCTTCACCCAACTAGGAACTTTTGGTGCAAAACCGTACAATTTATTAGGGCGTCGTGAAGTGTGGCATGGATTATGGAATGAAGCCGATCTACAATAACAAATGACGGGCAACGGCGGAAGGGCAGAGTGCTGTGCGGAGTAATTTGGCGGCCGCGCGCTTGGCGTCTACTTTTTCTACCAGTGTGAGTCTACATCGGATAAACGGCTGTGACCTAGATACCACCGAGCGGAGTAAGCTTGAGCACTAGGCACCATGTCTTTCAGGTCAAAACAACGTCCAAAATGTCTCCACTTTTTCTGATCGAACAGTTAAATGTTTTTCGGGCAAGTGTTCGCTTTTGTATTACTGTGGCCGATCTTGGGAAGTGGATTACGAAAGTACCGTAGCTATCACACTACGCGGTCATGTACTGGCAGGCTGATCGAGTGAAGACTTCACAGATAGGCTTTTTGCACATTTAGTGAGCTACTTATAGACTGATATTGATGTGAACAGATTATGTATCTCTTACTAGAGTTTTCATCTTGTCAGTGAAGCCACTAATTCTGCGAGTTTTGCATCGTTGATGATTTTCAATAGGATGAAACAGATGTACAGTGTCCCTATGCTTACAACATAGATTGGCATCGCACCAACATCAACTTGCGTGTTTACTCGACTGTTCCTGACATTCTCAACTTGTTGGCACCGGTCCCTAAAGCAGACGGCGAAACTCTATAACCAATAGTTACCCCACTATTTACCACATTCTCTACATTCTGCCGGACATGTCATTTGCCAAATTCACGTGAAAAACATGTCGTTTCTGATAATACTGCCAAAAACTCCTTAAAGGTTCACTGCCGGTTCCATCCTCCCACTTCGGCCACTCAAGTAATAGTTACCCCACTATTTACCACATTCTCTACATTCTGCCGGACATGTCATTTGCCAAATTCACGTGAAAAACATGTCGTTTCTGATAATACTGCCAAAAACTCCTTAAAGGTTCACTGCCGGTTCCATCCTCCCACTTCGGGCCACTCAAGTAGGCGCATTTCCCGAGTTTTCGTCGGGCTCATGTTCTGCTTGAACTCAAATTTGAGGCAATTCGCGGGTGCACTCGTTTGCGTGATATTTTTGTAGCTAGATACTTATTTTGCAGGGCTTCGATGGTTACAAATTCGCAGCAGACCCCAGACGAGAGTAAGTTGTAGCGACTTCACTCACAACGAATGCGGAGTTGGGGCTCATCAGGCTGGAAATCAACTGTGGCGTTTATAACATGCTTGCATTGAAGCTGCCCAACACCAGTTGCACAAGTTAGTGACGGTCATCCCTTTCAGTCCAAATGCAGTCTTTTCCCCAAACCGGAACTAGGCAAATCGTGAAGCAATTTCTTCCAATGAAACTCCGACCAATAGCTATGTATTGATTTTCCTGTTGAGAAATCCATACAAATTCACAACTTGTGAGAATTTGACACGAATTTTCTTACTTAATGCACCTGTTGGTTCATTATGAGTTTTCGAAGGCTTTCAATCGATAAATCCTATGAATTTGTTTTGACTGAAAGGTGAACCTGTTTATTCTAGAATCCTCATTTTGTGTTGTTCAGTGTGCATTTGACATGTGAACGAACAGATATCATATGCTTAGAAAATGACCCTCTGGAAAAGTCGAACTTTTTCTCGTCACTATTCTGAATGGTTACTTGAGCACCCAGTATCATATGACCATAGTACGCAAAATAGTCATCTAGCAACTCCCAGCTATTAGAAGTTAGATGTGGGTTCTGGAACGTCTACTCTGTTTGGATAATGACATAAACACGATATTTGCTTGTTACGATCGTTCAAACTTAAAGTATTCTTGCTGTTGTTCATTATGATGACATCCACAGGGAATCCGTCGTACCTACTAGACTGTCGTGCAGTCACACTTAGAACCTGACAACTTACCCGACGCCCAGTAGCTAGCAGTAGTCAACGAATCAATGACGCTTTTGATCAGAGGATGTAGTTGCAGTGATCCAGGACATATTCAATAAACCTTTTTTCAGTAATCGTGAAAACAATATGGAAGAATGCTTGGATTCTTCAAGCTAGTGGATAAAAAATGCATATTATTATCCATATAAGGATGTTACAGGTGAAAAAATGGAAAATTGTTTTTTATTTCCAGGTGATGCTTTATTTTACGAGGTGAAAACCCCACAGCCTTGCACAAGAGACGGCCAACTTAACTTAACGACTTAACACTGCTCTACATCTTGTGAAGAATTTATGAGGACACCATCCAGAAAGCTTCTGAAGAGCTTCCTATACATTGTCACACCATCAGGTAGCTAAATATAGATTGCGAATAAAGATCCAGGGACGTCGGCAGCACACTCTTCTCAATAAGTATGTTGAACCGGTTGATGGAATCTAAGGCACACTTGAGTCCAAGAACCACCAAGATTGTAGGACGCCTATACACATGGCATTAATCTAACACTTGGCGAAGTATGAAGATGTGGTACACACAGGCTACTCAAGGCGGGAATTGTGATCGATGTTTTCGCGTTTTATGTTCACGAACGTAGGATGGGTTACAACGGGGTCAAGCTAGTTTCTCTGTGATTGCCACACTTGCCTCGAATACCTTCTTTAGAAATGCACAGTTCCTTCCACAGAGCTAGAAGCAAATAAGTCAGACAAGCACGAGCTGAGGATGTCATCAACAACTATGAAAACAACGGGTGGGTTTTGATAGGATATAGAAGCTGGGGGCGTTTGAGGGGGTTCCAAGTCAATTGTCTAGTGCTCTTTTGCGGGTCGCCACTTTTGCGAGTGAACCACTGAATGTAGCCATTTGAACTGTCGTTAAAAATGTTGGACCCGAAGATCCTGGTGTTCTTCTTTTTTAAAGATAGGCAAACCGTTCACCCCACTGATTGTTGTACTCGCCGGAGGGCTTTCTGGACCGTTGCGCGTATCAGCTAGAATACTTTTCGCAGATCCCCAGAGTTTCTCTCCTCTTCCACGGATCTAGGAAGCTTCTCGACCCACACAGCTAATTTTTCTCACCTGCTGCTTGACAGTTCTTCAATTTGTGTTGTACTGTCGACCAAGAAGAATACATACCCAAGCATCAAGCAAGTTTATAACTTTGTTCGAGATCCACGGCCTAGATCTAGATAGGTCAGGGTTTTCTTTATCTAAAGAGCTTGGCATCTTGCGGGATTGCGGATGGCATTTTACAAAAAAGATGAATAGATGAAAAGATGAACAGAAGATGAATATTCCTGAAGCGAATTCGTTAAGAGGTTTTTGTAAACCTGATTCTTATTAGTCTCAGAGGGCTTCTGAGTGACCAGGTGAGATTTGCGCAACTTATGCGTAAAAAGCACAGAGAGGAACAGAAACGGACAAGCGCTTGGTCAAACTCCACATTGGCATTCTACAACGAGGGACAGTCAGCTTATTCTCTCCGGTATGTCAGCAGCATCAAAAAAAGTAATTTTACAGTCAGTTCACGCACAAGATATACCAAACATGTGTGGTACCGACAGTTACTAATGGCCATCTGGATAATATCGTTCTGTAAATTTTATCCGAATCGGATAAACTCTCGACAGCTTAGTTCATGGGCAAATATAAACATGACACATCGGGCTGTTTGGGGAAAAATCAACTTCTAGGATAGCACGTGAAAACATTGAGTGTGCTACTCTCACGTGGTTGAGGCCTTATTGAGGTGAAAGTTAACTAGAAAAGAAGCTATACAACAAGGCATCGTCCACTAGCAACTTACCTTTCCAGATTAGCTTCTTAAGTTCACTGCTGTGACTGCACGTCGCGGTCATTTGCAAGTGGTATAAGCTTGCACATATTCATCGGCTTTGTTCAGTTACTAGGTTGAAGGTCAAATATTATCTCTCACAACGGATTATATCGCGGCCATTTATCTTTAGGTGAGAATAAGAGCTAAGACGTTGGATGTGAGCTTCAGTGTAAGGGCGGAACTTTGCGATAGCGAATTACCCATGTTTTCCGGAAGATGACGCCCGGGAGTGCAGCAAATGCCCGTAAAACAGGGGTACATTGGAAGTGAAAAAGCGGCGCCAAGCTGAGCCACTTAGCTCAATTTCAAATTGCATTTATGTTTCCTGCTACCAATATTGCAATGGCTAGGCAGTCTGGAATGACTTAAGCACAGATTTTGTGGAAGAGTTTCCGATTCATGTGTATACTAATTAGCTAATATTGTGGAGTAAAAAAAGTCGGAGACGTAGGAATTGATTTTATTTTCATTTTTCTAGTACAGGGTGTCTCATAACAGACGCAAAATTTGATTGGGTGAGTAAACGTAGCCAATCGTAAAAGTTAACAAAATCTTTCATTGTTGATAGCCACATAAAGAAAGTTTTGTGTGCAAGTGTTTGCATTATTTTCTATCTACGATAGATGTCAGTACGCGCATTGAATTTGTGAAACTCTGTTATTCACTTGGACGGAGCGCCACAGCTGCACTTTGTGGTTACAAAACCAAACATGGTCTCATCAAAGATCCCTTCACCGTGTCGACCAGTACATGCTTGATTGCGAAATTTTAGTCCACCGGATCTGTAGTGGATTTTCCTGGCAAAGGGAGAAAGTCTCAGTGATGAAAGTGCGCCCATTGTATAGAATGCCGTCGAGCAACTTCAATCTCAGAGCACCATGGCATCTTCGTCATTAACTCAGGCGTATAGTTGTCCAGCATAGTTGACCAGTATAGTTGACCGGTATTCCCTGCGCCAGCGTGCATCGTATTATGAGACGCCACCTTCATTTCAACCCGTATCATTTCACTTTATTACAAAACATCACGGAAGAAGACAAGGAGCAACGTGTCACGTTTGCTAACTGGCTTCCGGACAATGAAGCTGGAACGATGAAGCAAATTTTCTTGTGGATGGCATAATCAACAAGCATAATTGCATGATATGTTCCTGTAAAGCTCCTCAAGAGTACCTCACCCATAATCTCCATTCCCCTCATCTCTGTGTGTGGATGGGATTCTCCTCAAAGTGCCTCCTGCGTCTCTTTTTCTTTGATGCTACGGTTTCTAGCGACAGTTACCTTCATATGCTGCAGACGCATTTTATCCTGCAACTCAAGCAGCACAAGAAGTCATCGACCGTCTTTCAGCAAGATGGCGCTCCACCCCACTACTCAAACCAAGTGAGATCTTACCTCCGAGAGCAACTTTCTAATGAGAGAGACATTGCTTGTGGATTTCCAAACTTTTGGTCGACAAGGTCACCCGATCTCACACCTCTGGATTATTGGTTTTGGGGAATGATCAAGGCTCGCCTATATCATGAAAATAAACCGAAGAATTTGGTGGAGTTAAGAGCAAGAATTGAAGAGAAGTGTGCACGAGTGACGCTTGAAGAAGTTAAACATCCTGTGTCTCACACTTCATACAGCCTCCAACATGTTATAGAAGAAAGCGGCGGTTTTTCAATATCTTTTGCAATGCCAGTTTGTTCACAGTAACCTCCATGAGGCATGTATGTCCACTTAAAAAATAAATGTTTGAATTGGTCTCAAAGTTTTAGCATGGAATTTTTTTTGCGTCTATCATGAGACAGCCTGTAGTTGCGCACAATCTTTGCCAAAATCTCTTCCCCTTAAGTTGATAAACGCAAACCAAATATAAACTGGGGTCATCAATTTTGAGCCATGATTGCTGTAGTCACCATTTAGTTGGCTTGAGTGGGACAGATGGCTTGGGAACTTCGTAGGCGGCCCCCTGTGTCATCTGAGGGACTACCACTGTCTAAAAGTAAACGAAACACTCTAAGCCCTTGAGTCGGTCGCATGTCTGTTTATGTCTGGCCGGGTGTTACTGGACAAAGCCTCTGCAGCACACATATCAAAATGTGGGGCTTCTGGGATGAGCCTAACGGGTTGTATCAGATCAAAATGATTCGAACTGGTGACGCAAATGAGCACGCAAACAGAACACACTTCCTGGGTCTAAGACACATTTGGTTCCAATTTGAGCTGCTGACACGTTCTACTCCGTCCTTTATGGTAACAGAACAAATATCAGAAATTTGCACCTCATGCAGTATCTCTCATCTCCATCGACAAAGACAGGCTATATCAGCCTTACGGTTATTAGTCTAGCCAGGCTCAGAATCCTGACCACATTTCCAGTGTATCCGACAATGGAAACATTGACAGCGATCAACGGCTGCATGGTTGCTCTATGCTAATACACAAAGGGAAATGAAAGAGACATCCACGACTCAGACACTCCTACCCAATTGATTACATCTTGTGCCGTTATGACACCGAAAGGTTAGCATCAGATGGAGCATGCGGGGAGTCGATCTTGGAATGAAGCAAGACATCCAGCTTTACAAGCACTACATTACCAAAACATCTGAAATACCTGCGAGTCAGGTTGCCACATCAAAATCAATGGAGCTATCTCTTGACGAATTTCAGATCATCCGGACTACTAAAGGAAACATGTCACAACTTGAGGCACTGAACGCTGACGACAACAGCTAAATAGACAGAGAAATTATGCCGCGGACTTCCTAATAGTTTTGATGAAACCGGTCAGCAGACTGAATAGCACTTATCTGGAAAGGATCTACGGACAGTGAATGAATGTTTTTTGGACATGCCTTACAGACTGCTCATACCGTCCTGAAGCTCCTAAAATCCTGTGAGGTCTGCGGGTTGGTATCCGTTTCGGGATCTGTCCGCTATATCAAACTACTCCGATGGATCCCTTTAAGGAGCTATTCGCACCAGGTTTCCGGTGTAAGCAACTGGACTCGAGGGAGTAAGACCGAAGGGTGAACAGAGAGACTGGCATGAGGCCGCCAGCGTTCTCAACCAATGGCCAACAAATGCCACATTTTCGTGAAAATATAAACAGTTGAAATCCTCTGAAGCGCGCAAAAGGTAGCTCAACAGACTGCACGTTCGCCAAGATTTACCTAAGCCACACACGCACGGCTGGCTCTTACTACCCAATAAACCCTCCGGTCTGTACGGTGGTCACAGAAGGAACCTGCTGACGAGACATTCTCATCTAGAAAGAATATGTTACATGAACGTTCGACTAACGGCACTGAACTATTGACCACCGGATCATCGTCTATTAGTCTATTAACTCATGGGCGAAAAGAAGCGCTGTTTAATTCACAGAAAAGCTTGCCTTTTCAAAACATGAACTACGAACATTGATTCACATCATCCTGACACTCGGTCACGTGTCATCATGTGGCAACTTCTGATTGAGCCAGCTTCTTGCTTTTTAATATACACTATATGTTGACGTGCGTTGCGGACTTGTTTAGATGCTTTTTCCCGCAACCACTGCCATGAAAATTGTAACAACATGGGCAAACATACTAAGTTTCAAGCCATTTTGTTTGATAGCATTGTTGTCCGTCAGAACTAACAGCTTGACTTTTATGTAACATCATGATGTAACTTCCTAATAGTCCGAATTCCAAACAGCTTCCAGCAGTATCTGGAGGGTCATAAGCCAGCAGACGGCGATTTAAGATAATTGAGTTCCACACGATGTTCAGTTTCCCCTACCAACAGCCTGTGACGTGACAATGCCTGCTGTTCAAACACTACAAACACAGTAGAAAAACTGCCGGATCAGGGGGACTTGTTGGGTGGAGGGACAGTGTTTGTCGAACCGCTTGAAGTCACATTGCCTGAAAAGCCGGTGAAATACAGACAAATGCAGGAATCTGAATGCAGCAGGTGCAACGCGAATATCACATTTCTAACTTGTGAAAACGCACGTTGTGCGTTCTTCCGGAAAGTCTGCTTCATGGTGCTGCTGGACTGAGATTTTGTGCTGTCAGTGAGGCCAGTCTATACTGAAAAGCCTAGAAGCAGTCTACAGGTGTTTTAACCTTATTGGGAGTCATCAGCAGTGACCATCTCGCTAAACCCCAGTGGGCTTCGAATCTTCTGTTTACAGGCTGGTAGCTGGAACACAAACGTTCGGCCACGAGCTGCTAACCAGCAGTGTGAATAACTCACATCTAGACGGAAAATAAGATCGCCCATTGTTTAGTTAGTTATTTCACACCACGTGGTCAAGTACTCACTTGCTCCTCGAGTGAAGGCGCCTCAAATTGAATTTCCACTCGTCGTGTGAATTATTCTTTCTTCCGAGCTACTTATAACTTGTTGTCGTAGACTACTCAATGACCGTGGTTTGTGTCACGTCACATATCTATCGACTGCCTAACGACTACCAATTTTTCTCTACTCCTGTCGATATCTGCCTTGATTATGTTTTAGATCATCTCTTTTGCAATATGAGTACAACTCAGTTGGAACCACGGGTTCCTCGATGGTACTTTGGTGGTTTGGCCAGTGGAATGGCAGCCAGTGTCACACATCCCTTGGATCTCGTTAAAGTGCACATGCAGGTGAGTTGGCAAACCATTCGAGAATCTTTGCAATGTTCTTTAAACATGTGGTTTTTTACGAAACGAAACTGGTGAGAACTTTGTTCATTTGATGTCGAAAGGATTTCACGTTTTTGCAGGAATACTAAGTTCTGTTTTTGAAGTATCCGGCATCGAGAACTGCCGGTGAGATTCTGAAGTTTTCTTGTACAGAACGTTGTCGGTTCAGTAGATGTAGTATAAGTCTTGTGGCATTCACACGACCAATTCCACTCAAACTGGTGAACCCAACTAAAATATATCATTCAAGAGGGTGTAATACATTGGGCTCTTTTTTATCAGGCTTTCCAGTCGAAGTGAAACAATGTAGTTATGCCGTTTGCGCTAGGACTTCCCGTCTGTTTGTCTGTTTTACTGTCTGCACATCTCTCTGCCTATCTATCTATCTATCTATCTATCTATCTATCTATCTATCTATCTATCTATCTATCTATCTATCTATCTATCTATCTATCTATCTATCTATCTATCTATCTATCTATCTATCTATCTATCTATCTATCTATCTATCTATCTATCTATCTATCTATCTATCTATCTATCTATCTATCTATCTATCTATCTATCTATCTATCTATCTATCTATCTATCTATCTATCTATCTATCTATCTATCTATCTATCTATCTATCTATCTATCTATCTATCTATCTATCTATCTATCTATCTATCTATCTATCTATCTATCTATCTATCTATCTATCTATCTATCTACATGTATAATCTATGTATTTTGTAGCGTTATTTAGATCCGCTGTCATGCCCTATGATTTGGCGGTCAAATGAAACCGGTGTGTGCGGATGTGTGTTAGCTCTTTGCGCATGTACGTGTGAATGTGTGTACTGTGCCTGGAATGTGTCCATGTTTATTGTTGTGCTTGTTGTGATGCGTCACTGTTGAGAGTTCTGCTTGAAATATGGCCACTGCGCCCACTAATGTATGCGGTATGTCCAAGCCAGATCGAAGGAATGCTGGCTAGTTAACGTGTAGTGCTTCAGCGAACACCCTCCCTGAATCCTGAACTCGTACAGCATGACCCCTGATCCTTTATGATCATCTTTGGTATCCCGTGTTTTGCCAAGCCGTGATGCATTGCCACCCCGTTAATCGTAGTCACAGGTGACTTGGGACGGATAACGTTTGTCGGTGGTGTGGTTAACATACCGTGCGTCGATCCACTCAACCACAGGCAAGTCTCCATGCTGACGCCCGTTAATCGTAGTCACAGGTGACTTGGGACGGATAACGTTTGTCGGTGGTGTGGTTAACATACCGTGCGTCGATCCACTCAACCACAGGCAAGTCTCCTTTCATGCTGACGTACGGTCATCGTCCATCCCTCCTAGTAGGTTAGGAAATCGGGTTGTGATCAACAAAACACTTGTCTCTGAAAGAGATAGGAGAGAAAAGGAGGATGGCACTTTGACACCTGGCCAGACGCTACTCGCATGTGTCGCCAGTAGTATGCATCCTTACGCCGGTAGCGGCTATGTTGCTTACTTAGGGTTTGGATGGTCCATGTGGTGGTGAAGCTGTACCATGCACCATCGGACTTCTGGAAGTACCTGGTTTGTGGATTTCGGTCACAACGTTAGGTCAAGGTTGGAAGGCACTTGTACGATACGATCTACACCGATTACCTTCTCCCAAATGATTTGTCAGATATTTAAACACTCTCCTCTCATTTAATAATACCAAAATTACCCTAATCTAAATTGCCCCAAAAGGCTTGTTGGCCTGGTATTCTCTGACCACTGTTATTCACTACGATGGCTGCTTCCTCTTAAAACGTCTTCGTAATCGCGATGAAATCCGTGGGATTTAGAGAATTTGAAGATCCCAGACCGTCTGATACATTATGCAGAGATTCTGGCTACCGGAACTTTGTGACTTTGGTAAAATGTATTAGTGGTTTCTCCAGTTCCACCGAAAAAGTTTCTGAGGAACTAGAAATTACTTTTTACTCCGATAACTCATCGGGAATTTAACCCTCTTCTATATCACAAAATAGACTAGATGGCTTAAATACTGCTCAAAGTTTCTCTGAAAACACTAAAAAGCCAACTATGGATTTATTTCTCCGGTCGTGGGCTACCGAAGGGTTTCCAGCAACCTTATGAGTAGTGTACTACGTCTAGTAATTTAAGAAGTATAAAATGTTGTTGTGGAGAAAGCTACCGGTGGTAAGAGAGCGGGATGAGATCCCGGGCTAGGTCACCCGGGGCCATCAGATTTTCACTCTGTATCTAGGATCGTCCACACTAGTTATTTGATCATTCGGTCACGAACTAAGAAGGCAATGTACTCGCAGCCGTTTGTCTACAGAAAGTGTATGTACATGGAAAGTATCAAAAAGCATTTCCAGTTAGAGGGGTAAATCACCCTCTTGCTATGCACTAATTGACTGCAAACGTCTACAAGTAGATGACTGCGCTCAATCTTGGCGGCGTGTGGTGCACGTTTCTATGTTAACCGAGACTTTCTTGCTGTTTCGGGGAAATGCAGTGGGCGCGGTACGTTGACCGCGCTTGCGGTCCATTCATGCCAAACAGTATTCAGCTTGGTGTGTCATTGTGTGCAACAAGCTATCACGTAACTGAATCATCTGATCGTGAATGCAGCTTGCGCGGTTTTACATGGATGTCAGTTTTAACAGAAACTGAATGAGGGACGTTCAGCCGTGCAGGCGCGATCGCTCTTGGGTTATAATCCTCCTATGGCCTCATTTTAGCTAATCGTAGCCCACTCTGTTTGAGTGTTTGCACACTCAACCACTGGAAGAAGCACCATAATTATCATCGATCTGTCATTAACCGACATGGATTAGTTGACTGAATAGCTAATGTCATCATCACAATTTACCTGTCCGTACACGTACCCCGAACATTGTTTAGATAATGTTACACCATGCCGGCATAGGTGAGTAATGTGTACCTTTAGAGACACAGCTGCAACTATCTGTTCACCGGTTAATGGAATTGGTGAATGACTTAAGTGTAGACGAGCTAGAACAGGCAACTTGAATATGGCTAATTGTGCGCGCTGGAGGGGTGGAGGTGATATTTCGGCATGGTCATACACAGTGTAAGAGAAAAAATCACGTAATCCATAATGGTTCCCCTCGTTCAGCTGATGGTGTCCTTGTAAATCAATGTATCGATTATCGGGACAAGCGGTTTCTCGAAAAAATTTGATTCGCTGCGACCCAACTCACCACCAGTGTCGTTACTATCACACAATGCGACGTGTACAACAAACACCATCAGGATGTGTTTAACGGGCCTGTCTACTCATTGTCCATAAGATAGTGAAGTGTGATAGACAGTCACACCTTGATATGGTCTTGGAGCTGTCTGAGAGAAGTAAAGCGGCTGATTAATGCCAGTTCCATTTTTCGTTCGGTTTTTAGAGACCGTAGGGTTGTTGCTGAGATTGTCATCAATTCGAACACAGGTTGGCACAGGTACAAAATTGTGTTGGAATTTGCCAACAGTAAGGGTATAGTGACGCTAAGGGTGGGGATCTGCTTGGAAGAACATGTGTCACACGTGTACACTTTTCGCTATTGCATGATACTGACCTCGAGATAGCTCAGTGGTTAAGGTGCTGGAAGATTTCTGGTTATAACCCAATCACAATATCTCGTCTGTTCCTGCCTAGACTTGGGCAACACGGCAGAAAATATTCTTTCGGTTCAGATAAAAGTCTGCTATTTTCATGCCTTGCTGGCATCTCAGTTACTCTCCGAAGGTTAAAGCGAGAGATTTGAACACAACTTGCATTCTGTCGCTGAAAACAATAAAGATATTGGGCTGTTGGTTAACTAGGTGGAGATTACTAGAGAAACGCCTGGCTTTTTCTTTCCTCTCAAGAACGGACATCCCTTGTTTAGGATACAGCTTAACAACACTGGTTGGTAATAATAATCATAATAGTAATAATAATTCATCTATAACATCCTTTCGGTGCCTAGCTGCCATGCCACCCTAAGGAAGCACGTGGCTGGCATTCTGCCAGGTTGCCCAAGCCTAGACAGGAGATGCAGAGGTCGGATTCGAACCACGGATCTTCCGGTCAGCAAATTCGCGCTCTAACCACTTGAGCCATCTTGCCCCACTGGCTGTCCCATTTTAGTCCATTTTTTTGGAAAATCCCCATGGGTGGACAACAAAGAAGGATTTAAAAGTTTAAAGGAGACAGACGAGTTAGCGGATGAGACATACACGAAACCATAAAAATGTCCTTCGTAAGCACCACCAACTGAGACGCGTATGGGATACTGGAATGGTATATGCAGATTGTACAGTTGTAGTCTGAGATACTAATAAGTCTTACCATTTTCTTTCTTCTGAGGAATTGTTACTGTTACTGGGATCGATTGCCAGCCCAACTGATAAGTCTAGGGGTCTTAGTTTCTTGTCTTAAGACAACCACGTAGTGATTTCATCTAAGAAATTCTCACCTATTTAGGGTCAGGCGCCACGGTACTCACGATCATCATCATCATCACCATAACCATTTTTATTATTATTATCACCATTAAAACGACCTTCATCGTGATCACTGTTATTATTCATACTAGATGAAGCATTGCTATTATTTCCAGTGTGCTCATTCTAAATGCTGCATCATCGCTGCACTGTGTGATTCGTTTGAATACTACCCACGGTGCCGCTGGTGACAGTATACATGGTGGCATCTAGTGACCTTCGTTATGGGTGTGAATTTTTCAATAGCTCTTATTTTCAACGAACCGATAGACATCGACCACAAGGAAACAGCGATACCCCTTGAACCAAAGCCCCTTCTTGAACTTTCGATCTGGACGCGTGTCAGTTCAACTGGATTCTTGAGCCCTCAGTCTGATTTCACTGATATAAGTTTGACAGAAGTGCATGACCGTCAACATCATTTATTTGTAGCGAAACAGTTCTAATTTCTACTACAATTCCTTTGCCTGAATTCAGACACCAGGTGCCAAAAACCCCACCTTCCTCCGCGTGGCAATCCGTGTGGTCCAGTCGGACGGGTTGCTGGCACTGTACAATGGGATATCGGCTTCCCTCCTCCGACAAGCCACCTACTCTTTGCCTCGATTCGGGCTGTACGAAATGTACAAGAATGCTGTTGGCCCTAATCGAAAAATAACCTTTCACGAACAGGTAATTTTAAGTTGCTTTTCATTGTGAATGTTTTTTTGAAGATGAGACTTTCTGGTCTCATCACCTTGGTAACAAAGATTGCCCAAGATCATTGCACAGCCTCCTCGACCTTGTGTGGTGTCGCTTTTGCTCGGAGTTTTATTTTGTAAAACACTCCAAAGGGCAGTACATTGTCATGTTTTGGGGACTTTTTCAGGTTAATACCCATGTTAATTTTTCTAACTGCCAAAGGTCGTTATCCATGCTTAAATTGTTGTCTTAGGCTTCATTTTGTTGCTCGCGTACATAAGCGCTTTGCGATACATTGGATAATCCGTTCAGTTATGATTTTGTCTTTGAGGGGCAGCATCATTCTAAGCCTAACCTACCAATTGTTTTCCTGCGTTCTGAATCCATGTTTTCCTTGGTACCTGGGACGTCATCAGTCCAAAAGGTGTATATCCGTTCTTTACGGTTCGAAACAATAGCCACCAAGTTTTGCATCTATCAACACCCTGTAGGCAGAGATGTATGGGAAGTGGAAGCAAGTAGGGGGTGTTCCTTTTTTGGACTGCATTCTACTCGAATGAAAATCAGTGATTTCGCGGCGTACAGCACTGTTGAAGAGCGCCTCAAGCGGTCCATTATCTATCACCTAATGCTATATGAAAAGTGCACTTTGGGAAAGGTAAGACCAGGGGGAGTCGAAGACAGTGATGACTGAAAACAGTACCTCCGAAGAAAAAGACCACATAGTCTCTTTTGAGGTGGTTGGATGCGAACTCCGAGAAGATTATCAATGATCGATTGAGGGTTATTCATTCTGCAGTTTAATCCCTTGATAGGATGCAACTTAATGCTGCATTGGGAATGCTGGTGAAGTATTCTTAATTCATTCTTTTGGAGTCCGATTGTGCACCGGTTTCTCCCATATTTGTCTTTATTCATGAAATGTCAACGGCTTTGTATATTCTACAGGCACTTAGACAAACTTTACGCCAGAATTCGGTTACCATAGGTCAAACACGTACGTTTAGTAAGTACAGAACGCAGGATCGTTTTTTCATTGATTCACCAAAAGCTTTTTTCCGAAGAGATCAGCAAGTCCTTATGTTTATCATAATTCATGAGGTGGCTGAAGGCGGACCGTATGAAAAACCGTCTGGTTCACATTCAAGCCACTGACTCCAGGACGACGTCTGAGCCAACCAGATCGCACCGGCGGAAAAACAGACGTAACCTGATCCATGGAGGTTATCTGACGTAGCTTATCCCGATCACTCATAACCTGTATATATTAGAAAAAGCGATTGGAAATTGTGAGACATTGCAGGGCAAAGTGTGACAATCAATTTGACGCCGCCCGTGCAGTTTTAACCAATTGGCTGTCCGGGGTCAAGTAACTTGCCTCCTTCAGCAATATGCTGCAGACAATTTAATGCCAAAATGCGTTCTCAACAGAGTACCTAGTTTATCATTGCAAGCAGCCTTAGCAGTGTATATCTATTTTTGAAGTCGCACCATCTCATGTTGAAAATGACTGTGTTTCTGGACACCAAAAGCCTGATAGTTTATTGTTCCCCAAAAGTTTGGCTTGCCACATCCAACTATTCTCTTGGGCCATTTTACTCCTGATTGTCTTGTCAGTTGCTTTCATCTGGCCGCTGTCCATAAATTTGTTTCTTCCCGATCTGTACGAATAAAGCTCGCGGTGGCCGGTGGCTCCGGTTTCATCGGCGGACTGTGTGGCCAACCAGCAGATTTAGTAAATGTTCGGATGCAGAATGATATGAAACGACCGCCAGCCGAAAGACGTAATTACAAGCACTGTTTTGATGGCCTTCTACAAGTCTATCGACATGGTGGAATCGCCGAATTGTACGCTGGTGTATCAATGATGGCGGGTCGATCGGCCCTCATGACCGTGGGACAGGCAGTTGGCTACGATCAGTGGAAAGCCTTTTTACTCTGGACGGGATATTTCCAAGACGATCCGGTGAGACAAATGCCTAATAGAACTGTTTTCTATTCGAGTCCCTATGACGCTGAATTAAGCCACCAAGGATAGGTTCATCGTGAGTTCTTGTCAACCAAAAACCACCTACTGACACTCGTCACTGCTTACCGCTGACGGGCGTTGGTGAAATGCGAAAGTAATCAAGCCACCAAGGATAGGTTCATCGTGAGTTCCTGTCAACCAAAAACCACCTATTGACACTCGTTACTGCTTACCGCTGACGGGCGTTGGTTCGTAGGAGTTATCATATGTGGCTCCATGAATGAGGCGTCTCTCACAGGAATCTGTCATTTGACTCGGCTTCTTAGAGTTACACTCCAAAATGACCTCATCCGAACTCGTAGCACTGATGACCTTTTCCGTCAACAAAGTTCATGGGGATTCATGCGGATGATATTCAACCTGACGCTTGGTTCTGGGTGCAGTAGATGATCACCCTTGATAAAATCCTAGGATCAACAAAAATTTTCCCAAAGATGCCACTCAGCAGATTCGGAATCACCTCACGGTGAAGAGATATCGACGGTACATTTAGTAAAGCGATGACGACAACGTGTAAATCATGAAAATATATTTCGTAAGATCACAAAGTGCAATTGTATGGTGTAAAGTGCCAGATAGTTCAGGCTTTAAAAGTGTACAACACTGGATATCCCTGAATGTTCTGGTTGGGCGTTTTTTTCAAAAACTGCACACTTCTCAAAATATCCAGGAACAACTCGCGTGAAACACATTCAAAGGAATAAAAAAAATTGCTACACTCTCCAGGCTAAGGGCAACCAGGAGGAAGCTTGTCAACTAGTTAGCTACAATGTTGATCAACTTACATACTCTCATAATAATATCGGAAGCTACACCACACGCCTTTCTGCCAGAGCCAGTGGAACAATCCAGGAAATATCCGTATTAGACACAGACTGGTTGACAAAGAAGCCCGGGATCCGAATATGTCGCCCTTAGGATAAACTGTTGCGATATTCATCCCGATGGCTATGGCCCCTGCACACACTGATAGAAGGCTTCTGCTTGTTTTAGAGGCGCATGGTAAGTCAGGCTAGATGAGTCAACTAGATTAGTATGGTGATTACTTGTGACTGAACTGCTAGTGAGTTCCAAGTCAAGGTGACCTCGATTGCTGATGTAACGTTTGAAATCGAATTGCCCAGATAAGTGAACAAACCAGCGACCATCTACTCTACCTGAATTACCAGCAATTTTCTCTGTTGAAGATACTTTATTGATGAAAGCTTTCGTCAAAGCGATCCAACAAACTATGGGTGATACTGATCCATCAACTATATTTGACAGAAGTAAAATCAGATAATTCGAAAACAAATGAACTGCAACCATATCAGGTCTACTAAGTGGTTAAAAAGAGAAACAGTGATACCTTTTGAGCTGATTGGCGCCTCTACTGCTGTGAGTGAACCTCTTCTAAAGAATAAATCCTTAAGGAGAAGTATTTGAAGAGGACGTCACCCCCGAGCTTCCTAACGGTATATCGTAGAACTAACAATAGGTCAAGCACTGTATTGAATAACGTCAGGTATACAAAAGAAAGATCACGGCAAAGCTCGTCCTGTCTGTATATCCAAAGATTTAGATCACACTCTCTACCAGGGACTCCAGCTAGAAAATCGAGTGACAATTTAGTAGAAAGGGCAAGCTGACCGATCAGATGGAAGAAAGCTGTCCAGAGACAGACAGACACTCGCATTCTGTCAAACCTAGTTGACTGGAAGAATGAAAGAAAGGGTGGGAAGCATTTCATCCAGACAATACATTAACATTAATTGAGCCTGATGGAACACACTACTCAGAAAGTTGCTGAAAAAGTCTCGATGTCCCAAAAACCGGTTTTGTCCTTATTGAGGCTCATCAGGTAGATTTAGTCTATTGCGCTCTGACTAGGGCAGAAATATACTCAGAATAACACAAGCCTTTATCGAGTCTCACTGGTTTTGAATCTTGAGAAGGTAGTGGCCATTAGGCCTTCGCTGGGTTCCATTTTGGTTTCATGACTGCGGGATATTTGAGAGGACACATGAACTTTCTGCCCTATGTTTTGATACACTATCCTGTTGAAAGCATGCCACAAAAAGTTGTCCCTGTAGTTATTCGATAGCATCCCCATTTATCCCGCCCAAATCCACTGGTCTCTTGTTTGTAGTTCAGATGTTGTAGGCTTGCAGTAAATGTTGCATGACAGTGAGTGTGCGCAGTGAGTGTACTACGATGGTTCAAATCAATGTATTATCAGACCGAGCTTTGGTTGACTTGAAATAAGGGTTCGGTTTTCAGACAGGCAACTGGATGTCATTTCCGTCTCAAATACCTTCCATGCGCCTTCCATTCCACAGTCTACTCACATGTTCGCGGGCGTCGGAGCTGCCGCCGCTGCAGTCTTGCTGACTCAACCGTTTGACGTGATGAAAACTCGGATGCAGAATGCCCCCAAGGGCCACTATAGTGGACTACTTGCTGTCGCCAAGGATCTACTGACCGGACAGTCACAGCCATCTGGATCAACGCCAACCTCCCCCTTATCACGAATACTTGGGTTCACTGCTTTCTTCAAAGGAATTACACCCGCTTTCATCCGTATTGGTCCCCACACAATCCTACTTTTCGTGTTCAAAGAACAGCTTACCAAGTATTTTGGATTCAAAAAACCTGTCCAGTAGCAATATCTAGGATAGAAAAGATCCGTAACAGTATTGACCTATATGTGATTTTGCGTCCTATGCACTTTATGTATCTTTTGTTTGATTATCAGAGATATGGGTTTTTAAAAAAATGACGAATGTGATGGTGTTTATTCTAATCCAACGGCTTCGAAAGATTCGTAACTGGCTAGGAACAGATTATTGTGATTTTAGTAACTGAAAACATTTTCAGTGGTAGCGTCACGTTTTCCTGAGCGAGTTAACCGTGAATTTGAGAACAAGATAGTCTATGAGTGACGGATCGTCTATTCATATCCATTTGATCAGTAACCGACTGTTCCATCCTCATTGACCGGCCAGGAATACTGTTCAATCCAGATCACACAGAGTATCATCCGTTATGACCTAATACGATGATTCACCACGTAACTTAATTTTGCGGATGAATGTAGCAGCTTTCATGTTTCTAATCCTTAGATTGGCTTCAGTAGCATGCTTCATCACAGTCGCAATGCTACTAATAAAAGCGAGGCATTACAATGTTCCAAGCTGTTAGTCTCCAAAACAGGCAGCAGGTCCTGATGTCTTTTTATGAAAATAAAACGTACTTTCTCTGGGAAATAAGGCATCTCCATAAGTTTCACTCATTTGGCAGGTCCTAAGCTTACCTTTGTTTATCGTCAGATGCTTCTGCCCAGCCCATGTCAGTCGGCTTTCAATTCAGTCTGACGGTACATGATTAAATTCAAGCAGAAGTACTGAGCATCACTTATTCACGTAACCCTTGCTTGAACAGTCTTCATATTTCCCTAGCGTGGTTATTCTGCTTAGCAGATACTGATTCCTGGAGAACGGTGCTCAATTTTCAGCCTGTCACCATACCAGGTACGTCAACTGCGAACCTTCATGTCTGATTCCATATTGGTGAGCTATAATAAGAGCCAAATTCAATTACAGCGTTCCTTTCAAATTTGTGGACAGTGGGAGGGCTGATGAACCATGGGTCACGTGAACAAAAATGCAGCAAAAAAGTCAATTTGGATTATTTCAACGTTTCCACTGAATATGAGGTGAAATTTTTGACAGACCGGGTTTTCACTCAATGAAAGAGCGTCTCATTAGCAATTAGACTTTGTGGGATTCCCAAAGAGGGCTGACTGGTGAGTATTGTTCATGCTTGATGCCGTTTAGTTACTCAGTCGATAGTTCTACACATCGCTACACTTCATTAATTAAATGGAAGTGGAACCCTTATGAGCTTTACAAATCGAAGATATTGAATTCCTCAGAGAAGTTACTGAGCTGCCAGTGGTTTACTTGGTATCTCAGCTGCGTCATACTGACCTCCAGTGACGCTAACCGCTTGTTCTTTGAAGGAAGGTTAATAAAAGCAGCTGGAAAATTCTCGATCCAAGCTAATAGGGCAGTAGAGGACAACGGCTAGTGGTCGGTTTATATTAGTTCCCCCGATCCAAATGTAGGACGAGGAATAGAAAATTGAGTAGCGGTCAAGTGGAGTGGCTCCGCTGCAGCGGTTGGTAACCTACATGCTTTGCCAGGTCCAACCCCTAATAATATCTAGGCAATTCATTATTATTTCGGTTGATTAGTTCATGCTACCTAGAAAACAAGTGAGAACACCAAATGAAGGAGAGAACGATTAGATCAGTGAGAGTTTATCAAAAACACTGTCGATAGTAGACATGATTGAATACAACTTGGGTCAGAGTTGGGGCAATAAATCGATGAACATCCACTCTTGTTTTCGCTAGTTACGCCATCTTCGATATAGGATGAATCCAATACCGATAAGGACACCGGCGAGCAGCAACACTCCAATCACTATGCCCACAATCGTGCCAGCGTTTGACACATCACTACCGCCCCTTCCGTTTATCAAATCATCAATTGTATTCAGATGTGGTGTATCAGAGCTCTGACATATTTTCAGACATTCATTCAATGTTTTCACGTCTAAATGACGAATGCTGCAGATCTGTTCGCATCTGCAGACCGATCTGGCTTCCGGACATTCACCATCTCCTCTTTTCGGAGGTTTCTCATGTGGGCGACCACCGAGCTGATGCTTCCAATAGGCTCCCCATCGACCGTTTTTGTCATCTTCAGTGGTGAACTCGTCCAGTAGCTTTCCAAGTTCGGTTGCTGTCAAATTGTTCAAGCTGTATTCTCCGGTTGCATTATATTCCACCTTCCAGGACGGCCCATCTTGTGTCAAGTTGAGGTAGAATTGCCGGTAATTCAAAACCGCCCCGGTGTCGCGATCATAGAAGAACTGTCTTATTCTAGGGTTGTTTGAACCGATACCATCGATGTGGCGAGGAGTGACAGCCGGTCCAAGGAACATGGTCCCGACTGGATGATCTGTTGAGGAAAGGCAAATAAACGAACTTAACGAAACGACTGATTTCCTACCAGTTGGTTATACACAAGTGACTGTAACACCTGATGCGGGGATCTTCACTTTGGGATGTCGTTAAATGCATTTCCAGACCCCTCTTTACATAGACAGGCTTTGTGAGTCGCCTCTTCTGGGGGAGGGGGCAGTTTGTGTTCCCACTGACTACAAGCTTTTTGCTGCTTTCAGTCACCGTTGGCTATCCATTGGTTTGAAGTGGTTTAAGAATTTCCATCCAGTGACGTAAGTGATAGCTGGGCTGTTAGGGTTGTAGTTCCAACTAAGAATGTGTCAAACTATATGTCCAGGGTTTTGTAGTCTCCATCTGCTCTCAAATATTTCAAAGAACTCCGTGAACTTTCTACGACAAAGCTAAGTCTTTTCTTGTGGGTACACTACTCATAGGGTTTCTGGAAACTCCTCGACGTCACGATAATTTTCACATAATTTCAGGCTCATCAATTAGGCACAGTCCCCGAGTTCCTGTCAACCTTGGGTTCCACGTGAATCCAAATTGTGCAAGATTTGCGAAGTACATCATTTGCACGGCAGTTTGTTTCTTGACGGAAGAATCGATCGAACTCAACTGGATCTCTCGTTTACGATAACCTCGATATCTCGAATGCTATCTGAAACATGAGACGGCCTTTGTGCACAAACTCTGCCGCTTTGCTCTAACTTAGAGAACAGTTCATCGGATCACGGACTTTCAGATTTAATACAGGAGTTACAATGTGAAAACTGCGATCAACGGTATTAGCAATTAAAAAAAACCGAGACTATATGTGGATGGTGTGATTTCTGGTAAAAATAACAACCGACTGTCAGGAACGAATCAGCAGCTGATCGTCATAGTTCAAACCCTCCGAGCAATGGACGCAGAAAAACGCTAGAAGTTGAGGATGCAAAGGTCCCCTAAGCACCACAAGATCAATTACAAATGAAATTATTCTGGGAGAAAACATGCCAAATTAAGATCCTGAGGTACATCAGAGATCAGAGAAATTGCGTTCCATTTGAACAACATTTATCCTTATAGAGGAGTCCTGAAAAAAGGGTTTTTCCAGGTAGAAAGCATTGAAGGTTACTCAAGTGATTTCGCAATAGCTGGAAGGACGATACAGAAATCCAAAAGCATTTAGACAGTTGCCCAGGAAAGGATAAGACGAGAAGCGGAGTTTGCTGATACAAGGCACTTAGCCGGAAACTTAATGACTAAACACATCGGAATCGAGCCTATCTCCCACACCGTGCAACACAAAGGAATCCAACAAATGCCAAGGCGAGAAGACCGAGAGGCCAAATCTCAAGATTTCATGGACATCCACCAACAGGAATAAAAGCCAGCCGACGGGCCACTAGGAGTCCCCATCCAAAAAGGATCAGTGATCTATGACCCTTTACCAATCCATGCAAGCGCGACAAACAGGCATCTCCAAACTCAATGCACTTCCGCTTGCAACGCGTTTGTGATTTTACTTTGACTAATGGTGAAACGTTTGTCCAGCTTAGCAAACAAACCAACGGAAAACAAAAGGGAAGCGACTGGGTACAGATTGAATCATGCTGGAAGCCGAACAACTCAATAGTAACTGAGAAAATCAGGAACGAATCTTCACTGTGACGGTCGGCACACATATCGGAAGGTCAGAATAGCCAGTACAACAAAATAATAAAGCAAGTGAGAGGTGGACCCCGGAATATGAACATGAACCGGTGAGCAAATAAACAAGTCAAGATAAGTCAGCAATCCAGTCAGAAATCTCAGAAAACAACAGAAAAATTCGACCTTCAAGATCTTATTGAAGAATGTCTTAGCTAGCAATCATTCCAAACTCAACCCAACGCTGTCTCAGTTGAAGTACCAGTCGAAAAACAGAATAACTGGTTGTCATGTGGCTAACCCGTCCTAACTTGCCTATCACATTGTAGCATCTGGGTAGCAACTGAACAATCAAATTTATCCTGACAATATCACTGACTGGCGGTGAAGCTTTGCCTTCCACAGTCAGGCTCGGTGAAAAATCAAATAATGAACTTATGCTGCCCACATTTGTAATACTAAGACTGGTAAATGCATTTTAATGTATAAACTTGCATATGTGCTAACAATTCGATGTCTTCACAATTCCATAGTGTATCGACAAGATGGCCCCGGAAGCTCAATACGCGATGACCAGGCGCCAGTGTTCTTTACTGTTTGGTGGAATATCTTTTGGCTACTGATGATTCAAACAGTACCATTCGAGTAAATAGATTTTATTTCGGATTCCTGACCGGTTAGGCGAATAAAGTAGAGATGACGGAACGTGCGAATGTGGCGCATTCAGAGGACGCAACTATGAATGAATTTGTAACTCGAAGTTGCCACAAAGTCAAGCAAAGTTGTAAAATGGTTGTACATGCCGGGAAACCGAAGTAGTCTCATAGGACGCGAAACGTACTTGCATCGGCGAATGGCCTGGTGTGATCTACGACCAAATACCATCAATGATATAGCTCAGAATCGTCTAGCTATTTAGCGATCAATGATATAGCTCAGAATCGTCTAGCTCATTACAGTTGCTACAATGAACTAGTGCCACAGCTATTTAGCACTTTTTGAAGACAGCAATTCGATGCGCCCAGAACTCATCTGAGTGGTTTCAAAGTACAGAGTACAAGGGTTTTCTCTGTGTATTCGAAAGAGGAGCAGGCTAACCAATTCGCGGTGCATAATGTGAACCCTTCGACCGAGAAATGGCTGACATTTGTCTCGCTCAAAAGCAGTTTGGTTACACCATTTGCCAGCTCTCTTTAAGTTAACTGGTGTCTGCACAACCTTTAGTCTTGAGACGCGCACTGATGAAAACTCCCAAGAGCTGTGCAAAACTTTAGTTTCTCGGTATCATGGGACTTACAGATAGAATTTGAATATCGGTTTCTAGAAAAAACAATAGTTCCGGAAGAGATTTGGCCAAGTGTTTGGAATTTATTGTATTAAGCCTAAATGGTACCAACTAGGTGCCATGAATCTTATTTGAAAAACTGTCAAAACTGGTAAAAAAAACTGACTGTACCGCTAGAGTTCATTCATCCAGCACCAAATTTTTTGTCCAGCCAAAGCAACCAAAGCTCAATATTGATTGTTTGTAAAGAAACCATCCAGATAAGTCCATCATGGTCTAAGTCCACTGCAATCAAATGGATTAACCGATGAGGTAAATTGCCAACATCTCCACGAGGTACGATTGACAGACAGAAACTATATCTTACGCTAATTTACCCAGGGAGATGACAGAAAGTTTCATTGCAAACCCGGCTCTACTGTCAATCGAGCTCGAATACCCATACTAATCGAGCAGCCACAGCTTCCAACATTTTCTGTTTGATGAGCTCCATTAACTAATACTGAGGACTCTTAAGTAGGCATAAAATAGATCACTAAACACTGGTATCCTTTCAGTGCCGACGATAACGGCAGTGAACGTTCGTAGAAAATCACTAGTTTATTCGAAAGGTGGCGTTACTGAGTTTGAAAAGTCAGCAGTAGATGATGGAGTGAAGCGGCTAGATTGAGAGGCTATGATTAGGTGGTACCACTCACTGCCATCAGAGACACGCAAATTTTTGTGAGCATTTAGATCTCCGATCAATCGAAGTCATCCCACAAAATCTCGGGAACCACGGTGCGCTGAAATAAACAACTCTGAGGCCAAGAAAGCCAAATCCCTTCTAGAATTTCATTCGAAAGAGAACGACTGTCTTCCAGGTCGTGATAAGAATGAAGTTATTGAGATGTAAAAGTACTTCGGTGGTGAACTCAATCATCGTTGAACCGCGGAATCCATATCACTAGGTCAAATGTTAACTGGATTTTTGACTCATTGGAAGTTTCATTTTGTCATTCAAATTATCCGTCTCTCTGAGCTACTCGCAGATCGTCGGTAGTGTGAACACATTTGGGAAATTTCATTCGAGAAACCAATCTGTGGTAAAGCCCGCAGAAACTACACAGCTGTTTAATCCTTATGTAACCCTCAGTAGTGCACCTATTGGCTAGTAGACTAAACACCAAACCGTTCGCCCACGATAAGCTGATCAGCTTTGTGATCAAATCACACTAAGGCAGGATATAGCACTACTCATCGTTCAGTCCAGAATTCCACATCATACAGGCAGATGCTGACTGCTGCTTGACTGACAAGTGCTCACATAAAAGTTTCACCCACCGGTTGAATTGCTCTCCCTCTTAAGTTACTTGTGAGTTGTTAAAGACTGTTCTGGTTGAAACAATGAGAACGAAAATTTGTCAACTTTCGTCTCAAAATGATTTATCAGGATAATAATTCGCGAAGAAGCCGCGCTGTGTTGTCCAGGCTAAAATACGTAAAACAAACAGTGCTACTTCAATCTATGAAGGGTATCTCCTCACCAATGGCTCAAAACTACAGCCAACTTTGATAGAAACTTACATTTCTCATCCAGAATAACTCGAAAAGCATCAATGTGCTCGTGTGAAGCAATTGTTGTGATGATAACTGAAGAGTAGTTTCGAATAAGTTCGACCAACATTTCGTTATACGTCTCCTTTAAATGGTGATAGTCGTTGGCACCAATTTCAGGACCTCCGAAGGGCACGTGCATCGCGAGGATAACCTTTGTGAGAAGCACGATATGACAAATAAAGTACAGGCAACTTTAAGAAAGAGGCAATGACTCACTTTCTGAATAAATGGGTGATCGGTAGCGGTTCATGCTAAACTGTCGAGCTGGGTCGCGTAATTTGGGTTCCACTACTTGTGTTTCTGGTGTGTCACAGTGTTTACTGGACATCGTGAATAGTAGAGAATTCGAAAAACCGGCGGCAGTGAACACATTATGATTGAACTTTGATCACTTATTGGGTGGTTTCAGAAGCTAGTGCTCGTCAGGCTGAGTACAGTGATACACTGAGCACGAGTGAGCGCCTGTGTGTGTACCGGTGTTTTCGTGTACGTATCAATGCACTTGTATACGTGCGTATAAATATAATACGAAATAGATATAAATCGATCTGTGGTGCCATATGTAAAAGCCGATAAAGTGTGAGGTCAAGAGTGACTGTAATGAACGATCCCAACCGGTCCGTCCTCAGTTGGATGGACACCAACTGGCTTTCGAAAACGTTTGGTAGATTTATTGCTGTACAGTGTTTTGCTTTTGAAACAAAAGCTTCTGCAGGCCAAGTGACTAGGTTCCGAGGTTGCCCAGCAATAAATCTACCGATGGTTACCAAAGGTTTTCGAAAACGATGACTACTCAATCGGTCCCGAACATTTTTCATTTAGCTGACTTACTTTGATCGCGTTCTTCCTGGCGTACTCGAGGTTGTCCATTATCCATTGGAACTGATTCAAAGGGTCAACGATTCTTTCATCGACAAGAGAATTGTTCGTGTACCAAACCAAACTGTTTAACCCCAGAACTATTAGTGGTTTCTTATTGGGAATCGTGTATAGCATATAACAGTCTGTAATGGGAAACATACATTGAAGATGAGGTAATAAAAATTTCGCTGAGGGATATGAGGTTAAGTGCAATAGATATTAACGTTCTATGTTTCCCCAAACACTTTGCAGAGAGTTTCTTTTCTTCTTAGAATCATCTGACCTCACATATGGAGGCAAAATAATTTCACATACTTCCGAGTTGTTAAATATTTCACAAAATTTATTTAGCACACTTGGGCCACTTTCTTTTTAAAGATGCAAATGGATATCTCTCTCTAAATAAGACCTTAATATGACATCTGAAGACTCACAATCAACATGCAAGTGACCTCTTTATGTACAAACGTGGTCCTGATGGTTCCGAACGGCTTATTTGCAATCTGAACAGTTACAATTATTTTATCCTCATGAGGCACGACGTTTCAAAATCCATTCGCCACATTTTCTGACGGATGGAAGACTTCGCAGTAAAAAACATCCTCAGACAAAGACCACATAGCCTTGCAGCATACGCGATTTTATAAACACTGGGCGTACAAACTGCGTTGAAAAGTCAGTGGTAAAATTTGTCCACGCACGAGAACCATTCTTCTAATCTTTCCGCAACTCTAGGTCACCCACCATGTGTAACTTTTTATGAACTATTACGAATAAACTCACTGTTTCATCAGGAACGAAGCTTTCGAGGCTAACTAACTCTTTTCACACAATCACCAACAGATCGCTATGTTTTATGGACATATACGGAGGGTAAGAGACAAACACACAAAATTCACAAGATGGAGAGAAAACACTTGGTCCAGTTCATGTGTCTAGCAACCAACGAGTACGCTTAACTGACTCCTTCTGTTCTGACTAATAGAAGGGCTGTAACCAGTCTTGTCTGTTTGCACAGTATGAATACCTGCATTCTGGTGCCAAGTGCTTCAAATGTACTTTCAGGGCGAGGGCAGTTCGCCATTTGCTGTTCCCAAATTATATACAGATTCCACAAATGGGATGTTAGTTCCAGATGCTATCTTTGCTGATTGTTCAGGGTAGTTTTATCTGGAGACAGAAGCTGCACACGTGTGCGGTTCACATTAGTCTGCATTTTTATTTGGGGACCCGCCCTCACAAACAACATTTTACACTCATGTAAGGGCTGCATGTTCAGTTACCACCGGGCATGGTGTGGATGTTAACAGAAACCCCATCCTAACAAATCTGAAGACGGTACAAAGAACGTAGTTAGCTACAGCGCAAGTGATGTGGACAACTGGGGCAGTGAGAAACCGATCATCGTGGACCGATAAACAGCAGTATAAAGTCTTCATCGGCCATGGGAATCCGTGCGTAAATTATGAATGCCAGTCAACTGTCACTTGCAATCGGTCACAGAATTATTCAAAACCCACTATCTCTCGAAGCTAGGCTGAATGTTAGGGACAGCATTGGACGATAATTTGAGTGGCTGGATCGAAATAAGATTTTCCAAGAAAGAAATACAATTTCGGTAGAAATAGAAGCGTTTAAACATGCATTCATATCAATAAGATAATTCTATCAAGGTAAGGCTTATCCATTCACACTTATTCTCATTATTAAGCTGGAAGATATTAGGTTTTCCCAAAAACTACTCAACATTGAGCTGGGCTGAGCAGTTTTCCAGTTGAAGAGGAATATTGGTATCACAGGCATCTCATCAGATTCTCATCAGGTTCATGCAAGGTAACAGTTGTGATTGAAACCTTGTTGATTGGATGTCAATTTTCAATGCACTTTTTACAGTTTCTGTTGAACTAACTAAGTCACCTTGGTGGGACTTTGAGCACACCCCAGACGGAAGAAAGTATTCTGAGAGTCAGTCATGTTCTTGTCATTGTACCACTCTAAATGGCGCCCTGTGCATGCAGGATGAACATGTCAGGATGAATGAAAAGGTGCTGAAGGCTGGTGATTTATCGTGACGGGAAAAGGACCCAGAAAATGGCGTGTCATGTTGATAGAATCAACTTTAGCAAGCGTACCAGAAAATGTACAATGCACTTCCTCGGCTGACTAAGAGTTCCGATTAACTGCTGAGATTAGCGTACCACTCACAAGCTAGATTCAGATCATAACCATGTAGAACTTTGCTAGTTACACTGAGTGCCACGGCTTTGAACGTTGTGAGGGATATTTCTTTTGCTGCGAAATCCGGAGGGTAGTTTTGTTCAAGCGATCTTGGTGCTATCGAATTTGTTTGGTTTTCTAATTTATTATAAAGTAAACGTGGAAGAAAGACCAAGCAAACAACAGACCCATGGCTCATGGTGTTTTTCTGTCACTAGTATAGAAGAAGGAATCAAGTAAATGAATGGACACTCATTTAGAATGCAATCGTCTTCGTCAGAAAAGGGTATCTATGAATCGATTGGCTTGTACATATTAGACAGCTCACTTCTATGGAAAATAGACTCTTTTGTTTCGAAACCTCCAAGAATCCACGGTTTCCATAATGACTCATTGGTGGCAAGTTCTGTGCACCATTTGGTCCTGTCCGAATCATGCAGCTTTGGCGACATTTTATTGGGTGGGTAGATGTCGTGAGTACCAATCACCGGTATGATGGGTATTTGATCCGTCGGGAAGGCATTCCTAAAGTGCAGTGATAGGAAAGCTAGACTTTCCCGCAGATCCCTGGCAGTGGCAGCGCCACCTTGTGGGGCAGAGCCTCTGAAACAAGAAAGCCTTGTATGAGTAGTGCATTTCTATCATCAGCAACCACAGTGAAGAAGCATCTTGAGAGCTCATTGCAAATGAAAGTCACAGTGAATAACAAAGCATTTGCTCAACAAGTGTGTTTCCGCCAGAAATAAGTGACCAAATAAGATAGACACCGGAAGACCTGTCTCTGGTTATCGCCATATCATATCTACTTCAAGTACGGTTAAAAAAATTTAATGGACAAGAAAGATATTTTGAAAGTTTACTACATTCTACACACTCGCAATTGAGACTTAGAGCCAACCTACGTTTTTATGAACTCACCCTTCTTAAAAAATATGCGGTAAGTGTTGATGACGATAAAACTGGCAAGGAACATCCTAGATCCTACTGCACATTACTGCATAATGAGAAATTCATGACCTTAACAGTTTGTCTGTTCACAACGGTCGCTCAGTGGGGTATTTCTCCAGGTAGTTTGTGAAAAGGCGGGATTGCTCCTGATTCAGTAGCTGACACAGAACCCTCTAGGCCGTTTTGAAATGCATCGGGCCAGCAATTTCCCCTGAAAAAATGGATTTCTAAAAAATTAACAGCCAACCGAAAAACTGAGCGAAATAGTACAGCTTTCAAGGGCTTAGAAATCGAAGTTTGCTTTCGTCATAACGGCACCGATCGTTTTCAGAAAAACAAGCAAACCTTATAAATTCGACTGGGTATCAAACCCCACCAACTTGCATGCTCGGTCATACTGATAGGCAAGGAGATAGAGGGTTCGCATTTATTCTGAACACTAAATTAGTCCAGTTTTCATACAGAACCCTATTCCTGTCTACTTTTGCTTTGTTTTGTCAATGCTCTAAGCCACATTTCAAGAAAATCGGCAAAACTTACTTAATCCTGTTATTTTTGACAGAAGCGCGGCTTGATTATGGTCCCCACTCGCATACAGCTTAATTGTCGATTCTGGGTGCTTATCCGTTGAGGTCGGGACGGATTTCGTATCTTTTGGGGTAAATGAACACAGCCCTTGCTCTTGGAGGCTTATACTGGCATTCAGTTTTGCATGTGTTTAGGCCCTCCTAAGATGATTGCTATGTCAGTGCAAGTAGCTCCGGAAAAGAGACGCTCCTTGGTCTTGAGATTCCATGAAGTTACGTCTTAAACCATGGGATAACTGGATCAGACCGTCTCATTGCTGCCAGTTTTCTTGATCATTTCTACACAGTTCCAACTTAAACTATTCAAGTTCTCAGCACATTCTTTTCAGAGGGATTTACAGTGAAGCCCTGTTCAGTTTCGGCATACTATGAAGAAGAATCCCTAAACAGCAAATCTGCTACTGGACAAATGTGAAACGCGAGTAAGTCAGGTATGAAAGTCCTGAAAACTACAGAGTAGTTTGGGATATGCGACGTTACGTCTCGCTCCCTCACAAAGAACAGCCACTTCCGCATACTACTCAATGACATGTGGAATCTTTGCCCTGAAGATGCCACACATCTATAGATCCTAGTTCCGATCCCTCGTCGGTATTGGACGGTCATTTTCAGCTGTGTAGTGCGTCTTTCATTATGCTTCAAATGCTTTGAATAGGTTTTCTTCCGTACCTATGTCTAGGATAGTCTGAAACTGAAATACTCGGGTTGAAGTCCATTTATGTCACAGACTAAGTAGTGAGGTAAGAGACAACGTCGTTTCAAAGTGCCATTTTTCCAAGTGCCTCACAGACACTATACCAAAAGGTGATGAAATTGCTCAACTGTGATTTTTCCCTTCGGTTCAACCATATGAAGTTTCTTTAAAACAGGAGGGAAATTTCGCATACGACAAGAATCAGCCTCGCATTTTCGGTTATCTTGAGTTTGCTTCCCTTTTTTATGCGGCGCCATTTGTATCGGCTAGACTGTACTTTTCTTCAGGCTGGTATTCCACACGAAGTGAACTACTGACTTGGTATTATCCTCCATGTGATTTTTGATCAGTCAATGGAGCTTCTCATATTGGCATGCTTTAAGGAGGAAAATTCGAGCAGGGTTTCGCACGCTTGGCTACCGAGTACGAACTGTAAACTTTGTTCCATGCCCAAAGCAATTCTACCTGTCTTTCAGCAAATCTTACTTTGCACTGAGGTACAAAGTTAGTGGTGACTCATAGTCTTTCTTCAAATCTTCCTCAGAATAGTTGGCTGGAAAAGAGTCCACGGAAAAATTTGATTGGGTGCACATCGTTGCAACACACACACTGCTGATTCCGATATTCATACGGGTTTTCTTAATCCACCATTACCGCAACAACGATTCACGCACCGATATTCGGTGCCTTAAGTAAATCAGCTGCTAATGGCTCAGAATGAGAGTACCACTCATCCGTGAGTGTTAACTACTATCAAAAGCGTCCCAAATATGGCCTTAAAATATTGCCTTTCAAATGCTTGTGGAGCACACTTGTCGAGTGCAGCTCTTGAGCAGATATTATTCGGATTAATTAAGTGGCCTCAAGAGTGTTTCTGACGTTCCCATTAACCTATCCCGTGTCTTGAAAGTTGTGCATTTACAATTGGCCAACCACTCCAGTGAATAATATGTGTTGAAGATTTGAATGCGCTCAGCAACAGTACAAAGGAAAAAGAATACGAGGTGGATGTATTAGCGTTTCACATGCCGAATTCGGTCGTTAAACGGCCAGTACGTATCATCACTACGTAGTATGAAATCTAAGATGGTTCTTCCTCCTATATCATGGGCATGATGAAATGAATCAGCAGCATAGCAGCGGGCCAATACACTACTCTGATCAACCAATCAGCCACGAAAGACAACGCGTCTCTATCATCAAGCCTTAAGACTTCCTCTGAGGAGAGCCATCCCACTCATCTATGCTATCAACACGCACTATTCGATTGATCTGAGTCATAGAAAAGAAAACCGGAAAACCAAAGGTTGTAGTCAGGAAGTTTCCACTCAGTGTGTCAGAGCCCAAGCATAGATTTTAATTGGCATTACACGGAACATGACGTGATGGTGGCATGCGCACTTAAACAAAACGTCTAATAAATCGTGCAGTATTCTCAGCAAATATCCGAACTCGCGAGGCTGGACACTCAGTCATGGAACATGTATGATCCAGAAGAAAGACAAAGTTTTGACGAAGAACACATGCCTGCGGGTGGCGAAAGGCGAAGATGCTCTTGTGCAAAGTGACGGAATAATTAGGGTTTAGGATCTTAATGCCTCATTGTCGTAAACCTGAGAACTCCTCATGACTACCTGTCATCTAAAGTAATATGGGATAAATGTTTCAAGTACTCAGCGGGATCAAGAACTAAGAGCAAAAGATGCTCGCCGTATAGATAGTATTCACTTGAATGTTTGCAAAACTAAGGGCAATTGTTAGAAATATGATAAATTGCGCGCAATCCAACTTTGTGACAAGAAAAGCGCTTGGAATGATTCCGGTTATTCCCGAAGAATTCCCGCCCACATCTAGCAGACAAAGCACTCGAGTTATCTAAATAGTTCAGCCCAGTCATATTGCATGCTCCCATTAAATATCGGAAAAGAGTTGCCTGCTGGGTGTGTGAAGCTCTAACGAGATTAGCCTCAACCCAGTGGAAAAATAAGCGCGTTCACAGGTACGATAATTCGGAACGCTAGTTTATTGTTTTTGTCCCCATGTCCATGACTGCGGATTTTAATCCGGCCACAAAACTGAGAAGTTTGTTTCAGCTATCATAATACCTCACAAGCTTTCTTGAATGTTGACGTCCGTACAGATGTTCCGGACAGCTCATTCAATTGTCAGGGTGTTAATCACTCATCTCGTTCGTTAGAAGACATGGGTTCGTGCATTCTCATGCTGTGGATACCAGTCTCCGGACTTTTTCTTCGAAGATAATTGTGAAGAGTCATCCAATGGATGTCTCGATGTGATAACTTGTTGCGATCTTTCCGTTCGGTTAAACTAACTGACATTTAGCAATGTTGTGGAATGTTGGTAGCTCGGGTGCGCTCTTTGGTTGTTGGTCTGTTCGCCGAGCTTTGCAGTTGGATTGCAAACGTTTCATCACCAATCGAGGTGACATCGTCAGTGCAGGGTTGAGTGGGTGAATTCCTCCTGTTCTGCCTGTGATTATATGGCTTCTAAACAATATCTCGTAGTTCTGGAAACGGTCTTCGTGTAGTTTGATTGGTCTCCTGTGAATCTGACGTGGTCTCATTCTCCTGTGTCTGGTTGGTTCGTTGGGTACATTCAATTCGACAGTTCTGTGTGTGGTTGTTCTGCTGTGATTCGGCCGGGTTCTTCTTGCTTTGTGGTGTGGTTTTATTCCCTGCACTGACGATGTCACCTCGATTGGTGATGAAACGTTTGCAATCCAACTGCAAAGCTCGGTGAACAGATCAACAACCAACTGACATTCCCCCCTCCCATAGGGGTAACCTGCTAAACCACAGTGGATTTTCCTTAGTCACATCGGTCACTGTTAGCTTGTTGTGTTCCTGTTATATCCATGGCAACCAGGCCATGCGAACCATCCATTAGACGTAACTTTTTTCGGTTGGTGATTACAAGACATGGAATTTGATAACAAGACTCACTGAGCATGTATGTCCTAGCTGAGTAAAACCTTTATCATCGTCAGTTTCAAAGTTCGAGCAGCTTGAAGACAGGCTGCAGTAGTAATTGGAGCTATTTGGAGTTAACTCGTCAACTTAATAATTTGGGATTGTATGCGACTTTTGCTTCTCTCTTCCAAATGGGTTTTGCGACAAACTACTTGTTTCCTCGAAAACAGAACTAAAGTACTTGATAACGAAGTGTACCTTGATGTAACTATTGCTAATTTAGCTATCATCCTACGTGACAATACTTGTTGCATCCACAATCTGCGATAACGATTCAAGTGTCGGCCCATTCAATCCCCTCAAAAAGACGTTCTACACCGCACTCTGCTAGATGAGCATTAATCATAACCGACAACACCGCACTTACGACCCTGTGAAATAGTTCAAATTGACCGCAGCACGGGATCATTCATAGTTGGGCCCGACGAACTTATCCTCTAGAACACAACAGTATGTAATGGAGGTTCTGTCAGCAATATGAAACAAGCTCTAAATCAGTGGACAGGTGCCTGAGGTCTTTCGTTTTTAAAGCCCCAAAATATAGAACTTTAAATGTGGGATTGGGGGAAGTCTAGTGACCTCACAATTGTTTTGCTCACTGTGGGTCTGGTCAGATAAACTAGAGATCGGGCCCTCTAAAGGTAAGGGCACGGCAGGTAACGAGACCCCTGAAGTGGCCTTTAAATATATATATATATATATATATATATATATATATATATATATATATATATATATATATATATATATATATATATATATATATATATATATATATATATATATATATATATATATATATATATATATATATATATATATATATATATATATATATATATATATATATATATATATATATATATATATATATATATATATATATATATATATATATATATATATATATATATATATATATATATATATATATATATATATATATATATATATATATATATATATATATATATATATATATATATATATATATATATATATATATATATATATATATATATATATATATATATATATATATATATATATATATATATATATATATATATATATATATATATATATATATATATATATATATATATATAAATATATATATATATATACTATGGCGATGGGGACGGCCCTCCTTAACAGAGTAATGCAAACAGTTTTCTTTGTGGTCATGAGATTCCTAGCTCACGAATGAAGCTGCTTGGGAGCTGTTTGGAAAGTGTGGTTTCCTTGAGGGTTTTTTTGTCGACTGTTGATGTATGGGGACCAACTACAACGTATCTATATGAATGAGGTTCCATTAATTTTAGTGATTAACTTGTTTATCTTTAGTTTCCTCAGCTTCCTTGTTGAGAAACCGGGCATTGGTCGAATCACAAAGTCTTCTGTGCGAGTCAATACTGACCTATCGTTTTTGCTGGGGCCAAACTACCAGGGCACAGAGCTACCAGACACTTGTTTTCAATGCGTTTCATTGGATCGATGCCGACGTAGCACGTAAAATAAACTGTAATTTGAAGAATGATTCCAATGTAAGATGGATGATGGGTTAGAGAAACCAAACAGACAATATGAATGAAGTTAGGGTGTATGAGTGTGGTTTGGTTAGGCTTTTCTGGACGCTTAGATAAGCAGCTCTAAAGAACAGTGAGTTGAACTGAATGAGTTGATGGCGTTTGATTTCTATTTATCATTTCTCACCATCTAATCAACCTGGGCCATAACAAAGGAATTACAGCCGACTGACTAGAAAAGGATCTAGCTTGTGTATGCGACAATCACTGAACGAGAGGCTTCGATGACTGAAAAAACGGTGGTCTCTTTGGCTAAAACAGAGAGGAAACATTTGTCTGTTGGTTGTCCAACCTAAAGAAACGCCTAAATATTCCTACGAGACTGAATAATTTTGATAAAAATTTGTAGTATTACACATTACACAAATCCGTCCTCAAGCCAGGAACTTACCCTCCCCAAATGACAAAGTCGGGCTTGTTTTCAGCATATCCATAATCGTTTCCGAGTTCGATTCCGGTGAAGGCAACTATCGGACTGGTGTCTTGATCGTACCGCCCCCAACTTCCACTGCTGTTCAAAATGCCATAAGACATGTTGACATGGAAGTCGGTGAAGTGCCAGAAGGTTCCTAGGTGAGGTTTCAAAAAAACGGAGAGCAAAGAATCAAAGCAGACCAAGGAACGTGGGGCGTGTAAACTAGACTCATACTCAAATGGATATGACTGATTTCACCGCCTTGACAAGCAGCGCTGAGTTACCTGTCTACATAACCGATGGGGGGTCGCAGATGGGAGCATTCCGACCATCATTAAAAGCTATCTCGAGCTAGCATCACACAAAAGCCGAGCCCCATGCTTTGAGTTATTTTACACTTACCGGCGCCGATGCCGCCAAGTCCGTTTAGATTGAGTTATCTGTTTTAGCAAACGATGGCCGCTTTATGTGGATCCCTACCTTGCACGTGCCGCAAATTGTCACAAAACCGGAGCTAGATGATTTTATCGCCGGAAAAGTAACAACTTCTTTTAGTAGTGAGAAGCATTAGGCAGAGTTGACAAGCTTCAAGTTTTTTTTAAAGGATTTAGTTTTGCTCGGAAGAGGCTGATACGTAAGAACTAACCAGCTGCAAATCAGACTTCGCTTAGTTCACCTATATTGGTTGTTTCTATTGAAACATAGAAATTTCTCAACATTGTTTTCATATGCGATGACACTTTTACAAAATCCAATTACTTGAAACAGCCTAAGTGCAGCCACTGGCCATGTGGTTCGGTAGACAAAACTAAACAAGAACTTTATTTCTCAAGCGTTGAACTACTAAGTGCTGACGTTCATAAAAGATCCAAGGTTTGAACACCGGGAAAACTTCCTAGGTAAATAGTAATTGGTGAATATATATATAATATTTGAGGAGAAAAGCTGCATCGAGTTGTTAATACCGACGTTCCAGATTTCTATTCACCGCTTGGGACGGCCCGGTGCCTTTTAATATGGAACGGTTGCTATTGAATTTGGCTGAACCTGGAAGTGTTGTTTCACTTGATCAGGCGTTTCTAAAAGTAACTTATCTGAACATCAAAAAGGGAATAATGTTCATGATGGACAGCGCAACAACAGTGTCCAGTGTGGTGCTTCGCTGTCACACAGCCATAATTCCTTTGCGATCCTTCTCGCAAAGAAAGAGATAAAAATGGATGAGGAAGGAACTTAATGCTAGCTTATTACATTCATTCCAAGGCGCCTACACCTGAGACGCACCCATACACGCTGGATAGAGACTAGCAACAAGAACTCCATTGGCGTCTATGCGCAACCATACACAAATTGACCACACGGACCCCATCCTGGAAGGTGAGCCACGTCGGCAGCCAGGCCAAAGGTTGATCACCCAGAATCGGGTACTGCAAACAATGATTCGGTATCCGCAGTACGTGGCCTTTGGTGCTGGGCATATTCCTTGACTGAAATCCCTGTTGCACAACCGAACACTCGTTAGCTAATTGTATCATTGCGTACTCGCTAGCCTTAGCCTATATGAAATATGGCTCTGAGACATTGGTAGTCGAAGACCTGAGGGCGTCTCAGTTCAGCTGTTGGAAATAGCCGTCTCCCAGCCGCAGAACAACAAAGCAACCGGTACTGTGGCCCGACAAACACACTCCTTGAGATTTAGAGATATGCCACCGCCACCATATATGTCTCAAACTAACAAACGCGACCTCGTCTATCACACCACAGTGGGAACTAACACAACTCCCAAGAGATGTAAAAGGCTCCACAATCTTAAGTACCTCTTCTTGGATTGTGATGTGTGGAGTTAGTACATAATCAGGAGCACGGCCTTAGACTCTGTAGATGCAAAAGCATGTTAATGAGCGCATACACCGGGTGGAGTTCCTTTGTCAGAACGTTGTAATGACTCGTTTGTCTGCTGCCTCATTATTTCCATGGTAGACTTTTGTTCCAAAACTGTGTGTAACTAAACGTAACGGACATACGTAATCACCGCAATCTCCTTTTGTGGAAAAAGGCTACTGGGTCGTCTTATAATATTGTCGCATCCTTTTGTCTTTTCCTGGCGTGTTTAAGATAGTTGCTGAAAAAGACGTTCTATTCACCGGAAGTGGTTTTACTATTGAATATATGAGTGGCGTTATGATCTCGTCAGTACAATTATATCTTCGTGTCTTCCGGTACGAAACCTGTGAACAACAAAGTAGGTCGTAAAAACCTCCCTTATGACCTACAAACTTCAGTCAACCGTATTTGAGATAACTTGAATAGAATAAGCTATTCTTTCACTGAACAACTCAACGTGGAGACAACAAGTTAACGTGAACTACGCACCAATAGATACAAACTTTAGAAACCCCGAGAAATCAGCGGTTTTTGGAACATACGGAGACGCAAACCACGCAGTTCTGCATTACCACAAAGTGCGGAGTCAACAGAATAGAAAGTGTGCTTTCAAAACACAGTGGTACATGCCTGATGAGCTGGACCCATGAATTGACTTGACATTTTTCAAATCCGGATAGAATGTCATCACTGGGTGAAGAGCCTGACTTTAGCTCTATCTGGCAAGAGTACTCACAGTTTCGATGAATCCTAGTACGCAGACATGTGGTTAGCTACTTGAGGTGCAAAATGCCCAATAGACTTTCTGAAATAAGCCAATAAAGCCACTCTACCTTTATCACTTTTCCTATGTGTTGCGTTGACAAAATCCACCTAGCTTCGTTGATTTCAGTAGACAAAAGATTTTGGTGCTTTCTGATGATATATCAACTTCGACAAAATTTGAATGATATCAAGGCTCTAACTTCAGTCTCGTAAGCTAGCACCGTTTTCTAAAGTTGTCCCTGGACCATTTACAAAAAGATACCTTCAGTTAAGTGGAGGTACCAGTGAGTCTTTGAATATGGTCTATCTCAAGTTAGCGTATTTCGTCGGTTACGTACAAATTGAGGATAATGGAACTTGGGTTAGTAGACCTATATACTAAGTCTCAAGAAGTGTGAATTTGGTGGTTAACTGTCGAAAGATTTTCGCAAACTTTTGACTAGCTTGTTCTGTCAGAAAAGAGACTATGGTCCCTCAAAGCGGTACCAAGTGAAATTCGGAGTGTCTTTTGTGCAGCATGCGCAATTAAAGGACACTATACACAAAAGATGAATTTGAATATCTCATTCACACTAGCCTAATTTGCAAGTGTATTTCATCAGAAGTTGACTATAATCTTGGCAGATTTCACACAAATATTTTTTTCTTCTGATGACCTTGTGGAGTTAAACGACAAATCTGATGACAAGCAGAACATAGATACTTGGGGAGCACACTTACCCACATTTCTGGAGGTAGCCCGAAATCCGAGAAACAAAACTACGAAGAGACATCTGAGCAAGACAACGCCTTTCATGTTGATGAGAGAACTGTTTGAAATTCGTAATGTGGTTTCCAATTTGTATGAGTACCGGTTTACGGAGGAAGCTAATGTTGGAGTTCAAAGTACATGTTAACCAATGAGGTTGCGTAGGTACAAGTACATCACGTAAGAAGCTACATGCAGATATAGATTCTAAGAAGGAAGGTTTGAGAAGGCACAAGGTTCACTTATCGATTGCGATATATTGGTTAGTCTGGTTGCGGCATACCAAAGTCCCCGTATTCGGTGTAACCGGACCACAAAGTTTATTTTGTGAGGCGCTGTAAGGTGTTAGTTGATAAAGCTATATACATTACACACAACTAACTGCGGTTGCTCAGGTTTAAATTTCATGATGGACTCAAATAATAATCAATAACCTCGTATACACATTCACACGCTCCTAAGTTTTGATCGTCAGTACGAAAAATCCGACGAGTTTTTTAGGCCGTTTATGCAAACTATCGGTTCGGATGGTGGTATTTGTTGAGGGGACCCGATCACATCAAATTTAATAGAAAAAACATTGTATCAGGAAGGTCAGAACGCCCTCAGAACGCCCGGAACCTACTGCTCTACCAAAACCTCAACAGGAAAGCCGGCAGGCATCCAGGCCAGTCAATCATTCAATCAATTCAGCAAAAGCTGATGAGTGTTCATGCACGCCACAGAAGCGCGGCCGAATGTGATCAGCGTTCAGGCATTCCATAGAGGCACGATCGATGTTGATGAATGTTCACTAACGCCTATCAAACAGCCTGGATCAATGTCAGAAAGTCCTCTTTAGATAGCGTGAGGCCGTTGTAACTTTTGCACTGGCACTCGCACGCACTCACGCTCTTGCACTCGCTTGTTCAAAATATAATTGTTGTGTTCCCTTCTGTGAGTCTTTTTTCAGACACTAAGCACTGTAGCGGGTCAGCAGCAGATACCACAGATTGGCGAATCAGCAGATATAATACACTGGAAGAAAAGTGCTCAAAAATCTGGTGTCTGTTCTCTACTAGTTGCCGGTTGCTTTGCAAAACGAACCGAAAAGACATTTGTCAACTCAGCCTACAACACCGAAAGATCGTATATCATATTGCTGCTGCGTGGAGATGGTAACATGCAATTTCGATTCCAGTGCAGTTACCGAACCTGCCGGTACGGAAGTCTTTGAGCATCTCACTCAGTCATAATCAGTGAGACATCGAATGCAGCTCAAAAACTAAAATATGGGTCCAGAGCAGATAACTTATCAGTGTGTTGAGCGGGAAGTGCTAAATGTTTTTTTCCGACGACACCAGCCAAATTTGCAGAACTTGGCAACAATGAATCACTGGAATCGTGCGGTGGAAAGTGACGCTTTAACCCGAAAAATTTCGATGAGATGCTTCGAATTTTCCATGAACGATGCACTAGGCAGAGGCTTCTGTAGAATTTAAATACCCTATGTTCGTACTCAGTTTTCTTACAATAATACGCAAAATGCGCTTTATTCGAGCAGTCCCATCAAACTTAAACTAGGTTTCAGGGCAAAAAATGCTTCGAAATCAAGATAACCGTCCGAGTAGTAACAGTTTTTGTAAACTGCTGGTAAGCTCTGAGCTCTAACAGGAGTGAAACTTGGATATAGTACTTCCCTCATTCAGTCTATGCCCGTCGGAATAGCTGTAAGGTTCATGTACGGGTCGGCTTTACACACACCGAGTATCATTAAAACTCTTACTGTCGGCAAAAAAGCTGGAAATTGTTAACCGCGCCGTGTATTTTTGAAGTTCTTTGTCCACGAAGGACGGTAGAGTTAAGATTCAATTCAAGGTACATGTACACCCGCGGCTAAAACGAATGTGGTAGACTGACACTGTCATAAATACTGGGTTTATATGCTCAGAAATGAAGGTCTCAGACAATTGACAACCTATCAACATTTCACGTGATTCTGATGAAAACACTATGAGCAACACAGCTTATCCGCGGCGGATGTTTCAGGGCCTGTCTGAAAAACCAGTTTATGTCGACTCCATTGACCAGGACAGCCAACGGTTATGAAACCCTTTTGTCTCCACCTGGCACTCAATTTCAGCGATACTCGGAGGACGAAGAACAATTGATGCACTAATCAAATTAAATGTCGACGCAATTCGAGAAACTACTATATTCTTTGTAGATCCTTGTCAAATTCTAGCCAGGCAGTTAGCAAGGTTTTCTGCTGATGCCTTTAACCAATGTTTGGCATTTTGAGTGAGTGGTTTTGTGCTACTTTTAATTTTCCAGCAATTAGTATACAAACTACAAACATTTTCGTGAAATGTTAATCCTAGTCAGACACATTCACTCCGATAAAGGAACTCACCCGGACCAGTTAATATGTTCGTCGTAACCTGAAGCTGGCTTTAACGATGAATCACTGCAACACCAATGCTTGTAATCTTGATCCCATCTTCATTAGAACGCTGAAAGACTAAAACCATATGGAGGGGAGGGTCTGCTGAGAAGTACCTTCATTCAGGTCTCTTCTGTATTTGTTTCGACCTGACAGTGCTTATGGAATCGATAAAATCTAAACAATTCAGCGCATGTTTTGCATTCTGTTGGGTACATCAGATATGCTCACTTCGGTATTTAAAGTATCCTTATTGCGTAGTTGATATCAAACTAGACCTGTGCATTGCCGAACATTGATTCATAATTCACGAGAAACTCAACCGCACTCCCTGTTGAATGTTGTTCTACCGGAAGCGGTGCATAAAGGCACCTCAGCTTTCAGTTGGAGTAAGATTTAAGATACCTATTCTCATTCAACTCATGCTGAAAAACTTGTTGAAACATTCTTGCTGAAACATTTTGGCAATGTGCAACTTGAGTTATTTGACACTCTTAGTTTTCCGTTATTAGTTGAACATTAAGCCACTCGGCCACGATTAGGAGTGTGGCAAGATTTTATTTGGCATATAGCACCACCGTCCCGTAGTTCCTTACTTCATGTCACGTGCCCCAGTGTTGCTCGGCTCCTTGAGTAACTGCTTGTGCATTCCCTCCTTGGTAAACACCTAGTAAGAGCTGGGTATATGTATTTTTACTTACAATGTTCATTTATTGTTGAGCGTCGAAGTTTTTTGTGCTGACGTGGCGGTCAGTGTGTTCAACTATGAGAAGATCGATGTTTGAGGGTGATAAAGGAGAGGATAGGAGGAGGATATTATTTCGCACACTACGACTACATATGTGTAGAGGGCAACATAACAAAAAGTAACAGATTACATAAGATGCATTGGTAACGTCGTCTTCCAATAATTCAGTGAATAAAACTGGTACGACTTCAAGAGCACACAACCGCAGCCTGCGCCAATTGGTCAACTGAGCCTCAAGAAAATTGGGTCTATTTGATTGGTTACACTTCGTGATGTTTTTGAACGGTGATTGCAGCTGAACTCTGTACCTCTTCTTCATCACCTTTCTCGCAAGTGGAAATGCTACCCTGGGATCCATTTCACCGACGGCAGGCGTAAATGTCATTTATCCAGTGATCTCCCAAGTGGTCCATCCCATTCAGAGACCATAATCTGGCCAACGTGAGCAATGTGAGCAAGAGCTCAACGATGATCTACACCTACGCAAAATTGCACTTTGACTAGTGAGAAAAAGTTTGCACTGAAACTTCTAGGCTCAAATAACAATGTAACCGCCAGAAATTCTACCTAGGCCACCTACCTCCGCTTGTATATATGAAGGCTAACCCGGTGTTTACACAGCATGATGATTATGAAACCTCTTAGCCAAGCCTTACAGGTCCTGCTGGACAGTAAAAGCGGCAATGTCGCGATTCAAAGAAATGCACCCCACAGTACCCAACAGTTTTCCAAAAGTCAAATAACTACAAGACTTATGGGCGCAATTTGGATAGAGAAATTGGTGTGATTTCATTCATGCATTCGGTGCTTCGTATAATTTTTGTCTACTCCAAATATTTACAAGACACGAAGAAGCAAACTTCGAGAAATCAGGAGTAAATTTATCACTTTTCACTTGAGATTCCTTCTTTTTGTTGAACCCAGTCTATGCAGGAAATTTTTCACCCTTGCTGATAATCATCAGAAGTGCGCATCTCACAAATCTCAAGTACATTTGAACGCGCGACCATTCGACTAGTGGGTGAAGAGAGGTTGATCGGCAGTGCGATTAAATCACATGTTTACATATATGGGATACAGCTCCATATAGTATATATATATATATAATCATGCGATTCATAACACGTGACCAAGAGTTGCAGCGTCTTTCAATGTGATTGATATCTTCCAATGATGTGTTGGTGGAATATGTTGGCAGGCTATGGAGCAATGCTAGGTGGGAGAGATCGGTGACAGAAATTTGATTGTTGTTGTAGATAGTGACGACCAGCAATCTCGCTTGATCGATGTCCTCATACCCATTCAGATCGCCATCGCGAAGGATCTAGATCCTGTATGAACAACACGGGTTGGCCTCAGCCCGTTACTTCTGATGGTCTCTTTCTGGTAACAGACTATGATCACTGTGTCAGCTGTGCTCTGTACAGGTGTCGAGTTGGAGCCTAGGAAGGATCATTATGACCGCGCTCTCAATTTAAAATGTAGACTAGACAACATTACTTGGTCAGGTTTATAGAACTCTGGGAGTAAGTTGTCTGCTCTACAGTGAATTCAAATGTGCATTGTCACCTTACTCAGCCTACAAAGCAAACAATTCTCTACTGGAATTTTTTTCGTGATAAGTTTCATTCTTCTCAGATGATGTTGATGAGTTATATACAGGTAGCATGCTAACATGCCCACTGTACTGTATCCCAGCATCAAAAAGGTTAACGGTAATGCCTGAATCTTTGCAACATGCACGGGAATATCTTCAATACCACATCAGATATTGGGTGCATGGATTGGTATCATTCGCGGCCATACAATGTCAGCCAGTGCGGCCGGTGTGATAATTTTGTACAGCTCGTACTACCCAGAGAAGTAGCTCTTTCTGTATAGTCCAACAAATCGAAAAGTGACATTGTAATTTTTTTGGTAATGTTCTTGTTAATGTTCTTATTATGCACTTGACTTGTAAAAGAAGA